AAAGGCTCCCCTTTGGCGCTGTGCACTCAGCTTCCAGGCAGGCCTTTGCACACAGCAAGCACAAGGAAGGCCAGCATGGTGCCTGTCTGCCTGCCCAGCCTCCCACTTGTCTGTCCATTCCCAACAGCAAGGGCTGGCTGGGCTCCCTCACCCACTTGCCTGCTTGCTTCGAGGTTGCCTCAGTTCCTGGGAACCAGCACCCCCTGGCCAGCCCCAGAGGCACCATTCACTGGCAGAGCTTGTAGCCAGGGCTGCTGCAACAAACAGCTGTGCAAGCCTTTAGGAGGCAGAGATGTGAGAGGGGATCGTAGGAGGAAGGACAGGAAAGAGGGACAGAGGCCAGCATTATCTCACACTGACCTGAACACTGCAGATTGGTAACTTCTTCACAGGGAATCCTGGTTACTATAGTTCTGAGAGTTAGCAATATGTATATAACACAATATTGTGGGCATCTAACGTAGTTTTGTTTTGCCCTGGAGCAGTAGAGGGAAACACTAACCCACCTTGGTAAGATTCAAATGTCTTAATCAGGACACTGCATTCTTCCACAATTCTGTCCTCTATGGACCTTTTCCCCATGCCATAGTCCCGTAATGTGCTTAGCGTAAACCTCCACATCACTTTCCAGTTTTCACCATGTGAGAAAAGAACACTTGAAGAGCAGAAATCAAGTTTCAAGTTATCATGGCCACGATAATATGTTTGGGCTTATCTCACCCTTCTTCTGTGGAACTGAGGATGCCTCTCAGCTGGTCCCTCTTCCGGTCTCTGATAAGACACACATTCTCCAGAACTTCAGCAACATCCCTATGGGTTGTACCCTCAGAACACGGTTGGAGAGGGGGTTCTCCAGTTTACGGCCCTTCAGATGTAATAGTACATTATCTTATGACCAGATTCTCCTATTCCCTCAACACTACTCTTTTGCTGGCAGTGACAAAGACATCTGACATTATCCATCCAATGGCTGCAGCTACACTGGTCGATTGGCAGGCTGTCCTCCAAGCTATAATTTCAACTAAGAATCAGTTCTATGAACCTTTTGGCACAGATTCTATATTGCTATGATAACTAAATTTCACAAACAGTGAGAGGGCATCTGAGGAAGGAGGGAAGGGAAGACGGATGGAGTCAGTGTTGCCTGAATCAGCCCTGATGGCACACTGGTTGAAAACCCCTGGCCTGCTCCAAACTCTCAAAGATCTACCAGTTCCCTTCGACACCACCGAGACCTTTATCTTCTGCCTCTGCTGCAGGACCACTAATGGTGGTCCTGAAATCAGCAACTTGCTTTTTGTTCAAGGTAATGAGCTTGCCTTACCTTCTCATCTGTTCCAGAATTGTGGGCCTACTAACCTCTACCTCCCCTTGCTGGTGGGACACCCTCATGGATAAGGACAGCTATATAGCAGGCCCATCAGACCTCAAAGTGAAGACAAAAATACAGAATGAATACATTTGATTTGGCCGAGAATATTTTCAATCTCAATATAAACGATACCTTGGCATCTCCACATGCTGTATTGCTAGGTTCAAAGATATCAAAGTGGGGGGTGGGGGTGGGGAAGCAACATAAAATGTTTACTTGCTATCTTTTGCATACTAGGCTATTAAAATGCACAGGAGCATGGCAGTATCCTGCTTTTGGCAGTGTTTTCCAGAGCATGGTTGGAGGTATTTACAAGTTGGATTTGGATATTAGCAATATCTCCACAGCTGCAGAGAGCAAGAATCGGGTATCTCTGTTCCTGCATGGTGTGCTCTGCTCATGACAGATCTAATTCCGAGCAATGGATACAGTGAAACCGTTCAGTGTTGACCAGTGTTTTAGGTAACACAAAAAGCAGTGTAGGAGTACAGTTCATCTCATTTCTTCCCTCATCCATTAATGCAAAACAGAGCTGTCAATCAAGCTGCTTTAGCAAGACAATGCCTTTTTTGTATTTTCACAAGTTACCTCCTGCAATGTTTGATTTTTAGCGGTCAATCTGTGCTGTGCAGATGCACAGCATCACTTCGGACAACTCAGTAGTGGATGCAAGACTCCAAGGATGTTTTAAAAGTTGATGACTGCACTCAGCGAGCTTTACACAAAGAAGCATTGCCACAGATAGCCACCTTGAAAGGGCAGCAGTTTAACTAGTGCATTTTAATTAATATATAATACAACCACAGATGTTACTAGGTCACCTAAAGCCTGTAAAGCTTCTGGGAAAAGGTGGAGAGCGTTTTATATGGTCAAATAAAGGATGGCAATATTGCCTTGCCTGAAATTAAGGCTGATTGGGTATCCATACTGTAATTCTTAGTTCTTCCATACATAAAAGCAAGAAAATAATCAATAGCCTCTGGAGAGTTACATGAATGCAGAAGGAGACCTCCTTTAGAATACAAGGCTGAAATCATAGGCTTACTTGCTCGGGGGCAAGTCGCACTAAATTTATTGGGAACTGTTTCAGAATGCCAGCATGATTCCCTATCAAGAGTTAAAGTCCCTTGGGCTATGGATATGCAGTATGTCATCATGTTTAGAAAGCTGCTATGAAGTGTGAAGATCCATGGCACTGATAGGAAGACTTCCTGTTCCCTAGCTGAGCTGATGCAACTAATCCCAAGTGAGATCATGAGATACAGAAACCAAAGATGTTTGAATTTTAAACCCTTCTCTCTAGTTCCTGAGATTTGTGGACAGATCACTACGACTGAGAGCCAGTGTGGTGTAGTGGTTAAGAGCAGTGGACTCGTAATCTGGTGAACTGGGTTCGCTTCCCCGCTCCTCCACATGCAGCTGCTGGGTGACCTTGGGCCAGTCACACTTCTCTGAAGTCTCTCAGCCCCACTCACCTCACAGAGTGTTTGTTGTGGGGGAGGAGGGGAAAGGAGATTGTTAGCTGCTTTGAGACTCAAAGGGTAGTGATAAAGCGGGATATCAAATCCAAACTCTTCTTCTACAGTGGAACCTCGGTTTTTGAACATAATCCATTCTGGAAGACTGTTCAGCTTCCAAAATGTTAGAAAACCAAAGATCAATGGGCTGGCTGCAAAGTCAATGGGGGGAAAACTCCCTGGAAGCTGTTTGACTTCCCAAAAACGTTAGAAAATGGAAGCAATTACTTCCGTCTTTGGGTTCCAAATTGTTCGGCTTCTGAGACGCTCGAAAACTGAGATTCCATCGTACTGAAGTCAAGAGTCTTCTGAAACAAAGGGTGGAAACACAAATCTGTTTGCAACATTTTGGAGTCTCAAAAGATCAGGATCTTGGAGCTGAAATGTGTACGTTCTGTGAACTGCACACTGATCTCACAGGGGGAAAAAAATAGTACATCACCTCTCCGAGAGAGCTGGGTCTCTCAGACTCACAAGAGGATTATCCACTAGGCTACAGTACACTTTCAGTATCTCTATACCTAAAATGCTTTTATTACATTGGACCGTCTCTTCAAGGTTGATAGCACTGAAAGCCTCACTCACTGTTGATCTGGTTCTCTCCCCTGTGAAACTGGATATATCTGTGTAGGAAGAGGGCAGGGCAAGAATGAACCCAGGGACAGAGAATCAACAGAGAACGAATTCTGTTCTTACATGTTAAGAGAGAGAGGATAACTTGAGAATTCTGGAATTACCACTAGAAATGGGATTATTATTTTTAAAGCAGTAAACCATATCAAAATAGCATTTTGCATTTAATGACCTATAGTGAAGTTACAGTAATTTAAAAACATTTGGGTTGGATGTAGTTTCTTTCCTGATACAAAATGCCAAGACTGGAGGAAAAAAAAAAGTTAGGATTAACACAGAGGAAGCCTGACACCATACATGCACACAGAGAGCTGATTTTACTGGCACTGCATAAGACTGCAGCCTAGTATCAAGTTAAAGGTAAAGGTAAAGGGACCCCTGACTGTTAGGTCCAGTCGCGGATGACTCTGGGGTTGCTTTATTGGCCAAGGGAGCCGGCGTTTGTTCGCAGACAGCTTCTGGGTCATGTGGCCAGCATGACTAAGCCACTTCTGGCGAACCAGAGAGGCACACGGAAACACCGTTTACCTTCCCGCCGGAGCGGTACCTATTTATCTACTTGCACTTTGACGTGCTTTCGAACTGCTAGGTGGGCAGGAGCAGGGACCGAGCAATGGGAGCTCACCCCGTCGCGGGGATTCGAACCACCGACCTTCCGATCGGCAAGCCTTAGGCTCTGTGGTTTAGACCACAGCGCCACCTGCGTCCCTATAAAATATCAAGTTAGGGGGTCACTATGTTGTCACCACTTCCCAACGCACTTACAATGGAGATCAATGTCTCCTCCTTCCTCATGGAAGAACTGCAGGCACAAATACAGTGGTGCCTCGCAAGACGAAATTAATCTGTTCCGCGAGTCTCTTCGTCTTGCGGTTTTTTCGTCTTGCGAAGCACGGCTATTAGCGGCTTAGCGGCTATTAACGGTTTAGCGGCTATTAACGGCTTAGCAGCTATTAACGGCTTAGCGGCTTTAAGAAAAAGGAAACAAACTCGCAAGACGTTTCGTCTTGCGAAGCAAGCCCATAGGGAAATTCGTCTTGCGGAACGACTCAAAAAACGCAAAACCCTTTCGTCTAGCGAGTTTTTCGTCTTGCGAGGTATTCGTCTTGCGGGGCACCACTGTATTGTCCTGCATATGTTGAGGGAGTGCAGGTGAAGAGCCGCTTTGAATTTAGGACCAGTTTGTGGAACTGAATTTCTCCACCTGAGATCAGTGAAGGAAAAAGTAGGATGAGCTACAATATCCATGACTGCACTTTCTAGATCAGCTGCTATCGTGGGGAAAGGACATGACAACGCTTTCCCAGTTCACGCTACAATTTCCTTGTGCTAAGAGATTATTGCTCAGAAAATGTATTTGGGTGCACCTTTAGTATTCTGGAATGCAGCAGAAAGATACACCTTGGTTCTTCTCATCTTTCAGATACCCAAACCATTCGGTTAAAGACTTGCAAAGAATGTCACACAGCTTTTCTTTTGATATGATGTATTTATATTTACATGGTACATTTTTAAAGCAATAGCTACAATGATCATACATATTAGAAACAATAAAAAAAGAAGTTAAGAACTAAAATATACATCATACACTTGTATATATATTCTTTACACAGAGGTAAAAAGGCTTATAAAAATCAATACAACAGAGTTTTAAACTTTTAGTATACAGATACATAATAGAAGGTTTGCTTCAGGCACTTAAATTTGTTAATGTGAGCAAGAGCTTGGGGGGGGGCGCGCGGGGGAAATGTTCCGAACTGGGGGGAAAGAAACAGCTTTTGGTTAATGGATTGTTACCACAGATACAAAAATAAAATCTGAATAATTTCTCAGATGATTAATGTCAGTACTGAAAAACCAACAGAGGAAAAAACACTACACACTGTTGAGTTGCAGTGTGGAGATCAATGGGAAATATTTACAGGGGGGAAAACCCCCTCCCAGCCTCCCATTTCTACCCTTGTGCCAATTTCGCTGCACTAACGAAAACGAAAACACCCCCCAACAACTCACATGGAGGGGGAGAGAGGGAGAGGGAGAACAAACATGGAACGACTGAATCAGGATTAAACCAAAACCAGAGAAAAGAGGGAATTTACAGAAGAGGACATACATTGAGGCTTGGAGCATGTCTGCTTTAGCAAAATAAATAGGGGCACTTGAACTGAGAGGCTTGACAACCTGTAAGATCTCTTCTGTAGTGTTGTGCTTTTGTTGGGGGGGGGGAGACCTTACAGAAATTCAGAATAGCAGAACAACTTGCAAAACCAAAATACTGTCCCCATCACTTTGTTATTATTTTATTTTGAGGCTGGCATGATGTTTGCTAGTCACCATTTACAGCGATTTGTCATTTGCTATTAGGCACAAAATATTTATTCCTTCCACGAGTTTACAAAATAAAAATTAAAAAAAAAAGAAAATGAAAAGCTTCCCTTGCCATTTAGCAGTCCATTTACATTTACAAACGTAAAACCTAACCAATGCAAAAACATTGAAGCCTACGTTATATATGTTACAGACAAATCCCAAATCTTGAATACCAAAATATGAACTAGAGAGATCACACAGCCAATCAACACATTATATAGAATTCTAGACTGTATCACTGCAGGTTGCAGATTTTTTTTTTTTTACCTGCTTAATAAGACTAGCACATCAGAAAAATAGGCATGCTTAATCTCTCTGGTCTGCTAGCTTGTTACAAGCAACGAGTCTTTTGTTGTTGTTTTTAATATGGGGGAAATGAAATGTGACTCCCTAACTTTAGTGGTACAGTCCAGAATTCTTCTGCCTTGGTTCTTTATATATATATATATATATGATGATGTCTGGGGCCATCTTTCCATTACCTTTGAGAAATGGAAGTTACTGCAATATGCTCTTTTCTGTATGGAAAGGTAATGTGGGAAGTCCCAAGCCACCTGGGAAGAGCCCACGCTGCACCTCCTCCCAGAAACGAGGGTAATTATTGGCATGGGGAGGAGCTCCAACACAAATTCCCACCCACCCCCCCGGCCTGGGAGCTTATGGCTGTGCCTTTGTGGTGAGTGGGAAAAGGGCTGTGCTCCAGTCGTCTTCCATGCTGCAAAGGCAAGAAGGAGCCCGCAGAAGTCCCTAGGAATGTTCAAGTTTCAACACAGACCCCCACCTCCACCCCAAAGGTCTCCCCGCTTGGTTTCTGAAACGGCTCCTGAAGGTCCCCTGAGTTTCACAACAGTGGCTTGTCTGGTGGAAAGAGGGTGCAGGGTCCGTGTTTGCAAACAGGCCTCAAATGATTGCTTTGCCAAATGGCCCTGGATCCTGGCCCACGAGTTTCTGGGTTGGCCCAATGGGTGCCGCCATGTCTCCAGGAGTTTAAAAACCAAACAGAAAAGCTCGTAATCAAATCATTAGGTCAGTGCCTGAGTGTAAGCAGATCTGCTCAAGCTCCAGGTTTCAGCCGTAACATATGCCACACACACCCATTGCATATGTGACAAAAAGCTGTGGTGACTCCTTGTGGCCCGTTTTCACAAGGAGAGTGGCAAGCATGTCGCTATTTGTATCTATTTGGCAATAAAATAAAATAAAACTCAGTTCCTCTTCCTTTAAGACTCATGTCAATGTGCAAGAAGGAGGGAGGGAGGGCAAGGGCAAGCACTCACCGGCACTTGGCTGCGGAAAAAAGATTATGGCAGAAACAGCAGCGCCAGTTCTCACAAGCCGGTGCCTATAGCTGCCTTGGATTACTCAGATTGTACTATGCTATATTATAGCTAAACTGCTCTACATTATTCCTTTGAATAAAAAAAATGGCCATTCCATGTCATATATTAGAAAAATATTATTATTTCCCCAGATAATTACAAGCCTTGTACACAAGACATGGCTTCGAAGAAGAAAATCAAACCCACACAAAGTCAAAAGCATCGTGTCACCCTACTGTACGCATTTCACAACCAAGAAAGAAGCAGCCTGTTAGAAGGTACAGATCCTGCAAAGCACACACGTTTTATGCATCACCAAGTACTATGGAAATCAACTGCCTTTCCGTGTTGGGTCACCCACGGATTTCCACAGGGCCTGCCTCTAACTTAGGTCAGGGCTGGGGGGAAAGGCTTCAATCTTCCTAGTGTCTGGTTTGAAGGCACCAAGGTGACCAGGTGCCTGGGATTGACCCAGCTCTGGCCTAAGGGATGTCTGCCCTGGGTTCTCTGCAGATCCCAAATATGCTGGTTCAGTGCATTTGGAAGCAGAAAGAGGCACGACCCTCTGTCGACCCCAGGCGGATCCTGTAGTCTGCACAGCAGACAGAACTGGGGGGGTCAGATCAGGACACACCATGGAAAACCTTGGTAACAACACAGCACATCTTCCCCCCTCGGTACTTTCTGCTTCCTATCTGCGCATTAAATCCACCAGGAATTATTCGTGCCCACACTGCAAGCGCGCCTACTTTGCAGATCCAAAGGCTTGGGGGATGGAAGAGACTTGCTGCCCAGGTGGGGGGAAATCCTTTATCGGTCAATTTCACCAATGAACTTGGGGGGGAAAAGTGGAAGAAAGAGACCCTGCAATGCGCAGCAACGTTAAAGCTTTCTTGAAACTGACACACACACATTTCTCTACAGCTAGCTTAGAGAATCCCAGTGAAACTGATTAGCTCAGAAAGTTTTACTAGGCTTCTCCGGACTGGTGGGGGTGATGTTTGTCAATTTCACTTTTCCCCCCTTCAGATTCCTGTAGGCCTTCTGAGGAAAACTGAATAATGAAAAAGAGAAGCCACGCCCTTACCTGCGCCCAGGTGATTGTCAAATGCTGTGATGATCGGATGCCTGTCGTGGTGCTGGATCCACACCCACACCTGACAGTCTCAGATGCAGGCAGTGGTGTTTTTCCCTCTGTCCAAAAAGCTTTCCCCTCATGGGAAGTGGTCCAGGAGAAGTTTCAAAACACCCTCGCCTGGTCCAAAAGGCCTCCAAGGAAGAGAGGCAGGCAAAGCACAAATGAAAACACTTCGCACAGACCAGCTCCTGCTGGCTGGAGAGGCGCCCCTGTATTCCCAGGTTGGTTTGGAAACGCTGGAAAAACACAGGGCCCCAGATCCATTCCCCAAACGCTCCTGGATTCTAGAGAGAGCAGAATTGTCACCCATCCTTAGTAGACAAGACTGTAGACACGGTTAAAATAAAAATAAAAATAAAAGACAACTATGTTCCCTCATATGTTTCAAGGTACACCACAAGCACGTGAGTGTACCTGCTAATTTAGTAACTTGTGAAATTCCCCCTTTGTTTCAAATAGAAACACTGTAGGATAGAGGAGTATTTCCACTGTGAAGAATATCAACACTAAAGCTATAATTTCCAATGTTATTTGGAGGAGAAAGACTAAGGTGGTGGTGTGGGGGAGGGGAGAAGAGAGAAGACACTTAAGGGTTTCCCTTTCACGTGTAAAATTGGTCTGAAACACAAGTTCTCAGATTCACAAATGTTATACAGGTGATACTAAGGCTCATTTCCCACATTTTGCTTGAATACTTGGTGATCAGAGAAATCATTCAAAGCAACTGTCAAAAGAACTGATGGGACTCAAAATTCTCACAATAAAGATTGTCAGCGATACTGTGTCATGGTACACATTTGTCATTAGCACAATTTCTATACACACACACACACACTCTCACACACACACATACACTTACTGGCTGCAAGTTGAACACAATTTAAAGTGGGATTTCATTATACCTTATTTCCACATGTGTCGATAGGTTGCTAAATACAGATACAGCCGTAATAAGTTCTGAAAGTCCACCACGCTCAACCATTCAACTGAGGGGAAGGGGAGAGGGGAGGTATAAACATGTACAAGACATTCTTGCTTGATTACAGATCAATAATACAAAAGTCTTTTATGCTGCACATCAGTCTGTTAGAACTCAGTGAGCAATCAATGCATAGCAGCCGAGTGGGAAGGGGAGAGAAAGAAAGGGGGAAGAGGAGGAGGGACGAGCCCACCGGTTTCTGAACTCTGGTCAGTCTCCTTGGGCCGTGTGACGACGCACGTAAAAATTGAGAACGCTCCGGACCAAGATGCTCCTTAGCTAAAAGGGGAAAGCTTCGAGCGTTGTCATCCAGCTGCTTTGTGTTTCCCACCGCAACACCTGCACATGACCCCACAGTGATAGCAAGCCCGAAGGGGAAGGTAACAGCACATACAGGGGGCAAGGAAAGACAAGGCAATAAGGGCCAACCACCGGAGGCAAAACTTGTCATCACTGGTATCGCAAGAGCAAGGGTCTGTATAGTCTCCTTCTGGGTCAGACATACAGTGATAGAGCATGCTGTCCGCACACCACATACAGCTGACTTGGCGGATGCAACTCTTTATTCTGTCCGGAGCATCCTGGCACTGACCCCGCCTGTTCTCCTCGTGGTTGAACATGTCCCTGCAGTAGACGCACCTCGACCTCTCCCCGTCCTCCTTTCGCCGCCGCGATTTGCACCTGGCAGGCTGAGTCTTAACCACAGCACCCTTGATGTCTTCGCACAGATCGAAGTCAGAGTTGCCCACGTAAGGGTAATTGTAATCATGTTTGGAGGCCTCGGTTTTGGCAAATCGCACATACGAGTCCCCATCGTCCGGATCAATGTACTTCTCCCAGATGGGGGTGTGGCGGTAGTCCTCATAACCCGTCACCCAGATCTTTTCTCGTGGGTTAATCCGCACAATCTCCTCGTCGTCGTCCGGGAAGCTGACGTGCCGATAGGATCGTGGGATGGACTGTGGGAGAAGCATTTCAAAAAGAACATCTCAAAAGCTGACAACACACGACACACTCAAGAAGTTTGGATATTAAATATATTTTCTGTTGTTCTATCATCTAATCTCTCTAGACAGATACACACATTTATACACATAACAACACGATACAAGCAAGGCAGACTTCGTTTTAAATTTCTCACGGCTCCAATCACCAAAAGGTATTTGAAGTGGATGAGGAGCGCTTTCATTCATTTCGGATGCCAGAAACAGTAATTCTAAAAATCCCATTATCCAAGTTATTGTGGTACATATAGCTGGAAGTGGATCAAAAGCATTTCGCAGATATAACCCGCACGATATCCCAGCTGTACCCAGTGAGGAACAGCAATACGACCCAGGCTACCAGCAATGACTGCAGTAGTTGGAAAAAGGGCCACTGCAATTGAAATTCTTGCCTGCTGTTGTCAGCTGTAAGTCTCATTTATATATATATATATGATTTTTATTGGTTTTACATATAATCACATTATGTACCCTCTTATTTTATCTCTTCGGATCAACTGAGCATTACAACTTCCCTCTCTCCCGTCTGATGGTTTACAAAATTAAACTTTGCATTCCACTTCGTTTCCTATCCCTGTTATACCATTACCTAAAATATTATATTGCTCAGCCTGAATAGGTAGCAATTTCATCTTACAGATCTTCAGATAACCCTGCTGGTGATGTTAACTGCTTACAGTTGTCTTTCAAATATAATATAAATTTGTTCCAGTCCTTTTAGAATGCTTCGTCTCGCTGGTTCCAGATTTTTCTGTCAGTTTCGCCAGCTCCATCTGCCACTCTTCTTTTGTTGGCAACTCCTGCTATTTCCATCTTTCGGCTAACAAAATTCTTGCCACAGTTGTTGCATATAAGAACAATTTTTTATCTTGTCTCGGTATCTCTCTACTCACAATACCCAATAAAAAGGCTTCTGGTTTTCTTAACAAAGGTGTTTTAAAACTTTTTCTTTAACTCATTATATATCATTTTCCAGAAAACTTTTACCTCTTTACATATCCACCACATATGGTAAAAAGTACCTTCTTTTTCCTTACATTTCCAACATTCATTTTTTGTTCTATACATTTTGGCTAGTTTAACTGGTGTTAAATACCACCTATACATCATTTTCATAACATTTTCTTTAAGCGTATTGCATGCTGTAAACTTAATACCTTCATTCCACAACCTCTCCCAATCTTCTAACTGTATATTATGTCCAATATCTTTAGCCCAATGTATCATTACCGATTTTACCTCCTCATCTTTAGTATGCCATTCCAATAATAATTTATACATTTTTGACAATATTTTTGTCTTATCATTCAATAAATCTATCTCAAATCTTGATCTTGTTGTTTCAAAACCATTTTTAATCCTCTTTAAACACTTCATTTATCTGACAATAATGCAACCAATCCCTCAATGATTCTTTTATTTCCTCAAACGTTTTTATTCCAACTGGTTTCCTTCCTCCAGCATTACATCTCCGTAGGTGGCCCATTTTCCTTCCACATTTAATTTTTTAACCGCAATCGCTTCCAATGGCAAGAGCCACCACGGAGTTTTACGTTCTAATAGACTTTTATATATATTCCACACCTCATAAATTGACTTTCTTATAATGTGGTTCAGGAATCCTTTATGTATTTTTACCGTCTCATACCATAGATACGTGTGCCATCTAAATCTGTTATTATATCCTTCCAGATCTAACAGATCTGTGTCAGTTTTAAGTCTCGTGCAGCCAGGCTCATGATGACGTTTCAATTTATCTCAGAAACAGGCAAGACGTATAGCATTGGTGGAGCAGCCAGCTTTTACCTGGAAGCCCTCCCCTGAAATGCTAAATCACTGGGATTCACCTCTGACTTTCTAGGCAACTGGCATATACCAACCTGGCAAGAGAAGTCTTGCACTGCTTCCTGAAGGTCAGCCAAATAGTCCTTGGAAGACTATGGCAAGCAAGCCTTCTTGTCAAGAGAACCCCCACCCCAGCTCCAGCTCCAACTCCCACTAGAAATGTATCCACAGAGAATTATTTGAAGCGTATGCCACTCTGTGCCCGTGAGTGGCAGGGGCAAGATGGCAATAGGAAAACACTGAAAACAGGCTTACTTGTTCTAGATGATACTGGTCAGGGTTAAACTGGTCGTGCAAATGTCCCCGGGTGCAAATTCTGTGGTGCTCACAGGATGGAGGAGATGCCAGTGTTCGCAAAGGCTGCTCCCTCTTCTGAGAAGAATTAGAGGAGCTGTCTGTAGCATTCTGTTAGTAACATAAATGGGAAGAGGGAAGGTAAGTAACACAGCTCCATTTCCATAGACAATCTGAGCTGCAATCCAGATTTCTCCTTAGGCACTGGGGCCTATCCCCCGCCCCGCCCCCCCAAATCACACTGCCGCCCTATAAACCTCTTTAGAAACACGCATGTTTTTCAGGAACAGCAACATGGTTTGAGAAATGTTGGTCTACAATATATATTTACCGTATTTTTCACTCTATAACACGCACCCGACCATAACACGCACGCAGTTTTTAGAGGAAAACAAGAAAAAAAATATTCTAAATGAAACAGTGGATGTATGATTTTTGTGGTTCATGCTGTGGCCACAGACACGTGATCTAAACAGTGAGTTTGGAGTAGCCCAATGCAAAAATCCTGAGGATCCATGTGGATTCATGCTTTGTAACCACGTTTTTGCACCACTGCGGCCCCAGGCAACAGTGGGTGCGTGATTTTTTTGGTGCAAGATGTAGCCATGGACATGCTATGTGATCTGATGGTGAATTTGGGGTGACCCAGTGCAAAAATCCTGAGGATCCATGTGGATCTGTGCTTTGTAACCACGTTTTAAGTGGGGAGGGAAGGAAAAGCACTCAAGGGACAAGGAGCACGCGTGGGGTGTGTGGAGAAGGATGCTGCTAATAATGCAGAAGAGGGGTATAAGGGGAGAAGGCTCCTCTCCTCTCCTGCTTTGCTCCTTTAAAGCAAGCAGGCTCTGCTTTTCTCCCTCCTCCCCACTCATCCCAGGCTTAGCGAGCTGAAAAACTTTGCTGCTATTTAGTGAGCTGAGTGGGGAGGAGAGAGGGACAGAGAGCCTGCTTGCTTTAAAGGAACCAACCGGACAGGAGCCGCTTACACTTGTATAAGCGGCTCCTCTCCTCTCCCGCTTTGCTCTTTTAAAGAAGCAGGCTCTCTGTCCCTCTCTCCTCCCCACTCAGCGGCTCTTCTCCTGCCTTGCTGTTTCAAAGCGAGCCACGGAGGAGGGAAGGAAGGGGAACCATGGATCCTCTGCTCACGACTGCAGCAGATCCCCCCCGCCACCCGTAGGCATCCCCTCCATAACACGCACAGACATTTCCCCTTACTTTCTAGGAGGAAAAAGTGAGTGTTATGGTGCAAAAAATACGGTAATCTGCTCACAGAAATGAAGTCGGGCAGTTCCTTGGGTTTTGCCTCCTTTGTTGGACACCACTTTGCTTTACAATAAAAATAACGTGTTTTGCGGCACTTGAAAGACTTCGGAAGTTATTGTGTCATAAGCTTTCATGGGCTGGAGTCCACATCATCAGATGCATGCGATGCAGCAGAGACTAACATAGCTACTCTCCCCGCCCCCCCGAAACTGCCTAGTCCAACACACACACACACACACACAGCGCACAAAAAGAGTGGGACAAGGGCATATTTTTAACCACGTTTTAATCTAAAATACATGTAAACTGGGGTCCTCCCAACACTTGTGTGCTTCTTAAAAGTGGAATAGCATTAAAAATACACACCCTGATTTGATTCTCTGTACTTATTTTGTACTCCTTGGGTAGTCATACTCAACCTCAGCTCTCAGGACTGGCTGGGAAAAATACAGCTGCATCCTCATATAGCTATGTGACAAGACATGAAGATGCCACACTGACAAAACTGAGCTAACCGATCAACATCAGTTTATTGTCTGCTGCAGCTTATGTGCAAGTGATTTTTTTAATATCTCCACATAGGTTCCCTTCAGGTAGATTAGCATCTTTGCCTACACCAGAGCAGAGAAATGGAACACCTATTGCATCCCCTTGCCCCCCCGCTGACTGGCTACAAGGAGCCCAGTATCTATGGAATAGTCTAAAATTATTTTATAAATAAATTCGCTGGCTGTTATCTTCCTTCCTTTCTTCTGAAAAAGGAGAAACTGGAGATCAATAAATGTTATGACACTTTACGTAAAGCAAAGGCGTATCTTGGAGGAATATTTTGTTTTAGTTTTAGTTGCATCAGCTGTTGGGTTCTATTTCAGTGGCAGATTCCAATTAAAGTTAAGAGTAGATGATCATAACTGCAAATAAGTGACCCCATCTGACTTCTTAAAATATCGTTTCTGTCTGCTCTGAGAAGTCTCTGCCTTCAGTAACCTTCCTTTCAACTCTTAAGCACAAGCTCATGAATGCGCAGCTGAAGTCGGGAGGAATTTTTAAAAGCTGTAAATAGCAAAGTATGAATGTAAAGCATGTAGATCTGCATGAAATATTTGTCACAAAATTTGCACTCAAATACTTCTATTTTAGAAAAATAGAATATCTCACCTGTCATCTTATTCATTCTCGCATATAAATCTGGAGGGATGGACATCTGTCCCTGGAAAGTACCGTATTTTTCGCCCTATAGGACGCACTTTTCCCCCTCCAAAAATGAAGGGGAAATCTGGGTGCGTGTGTGTGCGTCCTATGGGGCGAATGCAAGCTTTCGCTGAAGCTTGGAGAGCGAGAGGGGTCAGTGCGCACCAACCCCTCTCGCTCTCCAGGCTTCAGGAACACATCCGCAGCCTAGGCAGCCCTGCGGGAGTTCCCGCAGGGCTGTCTAGGCTGCGGATAGCAGCTTGCTTCCCGGAGTGCCGGGCGCACTGAAAGCACAGCGCCCGGTGCTTCGGGAACACATCCGCAGCCTAGGCAGCCCTGCGGGAGTTCCCGCAGGGCTCCCTACGCTGCGGATAGCAGCCTGCCACCCGGCGCGAGAGGTGCACTGAAGCAGAGCGCATCGCCCGCCGGACAGACATTGGACAGCCCCACAAGCTCGGGGGACAGCAAGGAGGCGCAGCGCCGCCATCCCGCTGTTCCTCGACCTGGTTCGGTTTCCCCGACCTGGTTTGGGGGGGGAAATAAAGGGGGGAAAAATTTCCCTTTATTTCCCCCCCCAAAAAACTAGGTGTGTCCTATGGGACGGTGCGTCCTATGGGATGAAAAATATGGTATTTTCTTTCCTCTTTCTGCATGGCTGCTCCCTATCTTGCTTCAAAGCCTTTAACCCCCTATTTTGAATTTTATGACCAATTTGCAATTTGCTCCAACAGTTTATAAAACTATGTGTTGTTGTTGTTGTTGCTGCTGTTTAAAGTTCTGGTCTTTTATAGTTCTGGCAACTAAATGTCCATAACTATATTTAAGAAGTCAAAACTACGACTTCATGATCCCAACCAGTTAAGAATTACTTGTCCACAGGCCTGCTGCCTTGATTCATCATATTCTGCATCATCAAGAACAACCTCTTCTGGCACTGCTAACCGTCAAGCAAGCTAACAGTGGAAAGATAATAACTCTATATATGCCAATGAAACAGTTAAGCCTGCCACTTTAAGCAGCCTATGCCTGGGAAGCACCTAGGATATGAAGAATGGACCTACTCAGAGAAGAATCCTCTAAATTAATGGGCGTGACTATTAACTAAGGACCATTAATTTCAATGGGTCCACTCTGACTATACCTTAGTTAGATTCAACCCACTAATCAGGAGAGGCTGATTTTTCTCCTTCCCTCCTTCCTCTATTTTACAACTGTTGCATTTCCCCCACTGCTTGGCTCTGGCTGACCGCCTTTTTGTTTCAAATGCAATTAGACGGAACAGAACTTCAGTAAAGAAACACATTAAGAAAACTGTGCACACTTTTAAATCTCCATGCATATTTCCTAAAAATCAGAATAGATCAGAGCTCAGTATCAAATCTGAATAGGTCTTCTGGAAGCTGTAGAACAGAAATTTGGCATTTATCTGCCCTGTGGTCTTATAGCAGTTCCCCTGCCCTTCTGCCTCCATGAAGATACCTGGGTCCAAGTCAGCCCTTGGTTGGAACTGCCTTTCCTCCTCTCCCAGCCTGGTTACCAAAGAGATAGGGAAGTCAGGAACAAACTAAGAGGCCAGCTGCAACTATCCCTTCCCTCTGAATATTCATAGGAGCCTTGCCAATGTCTTGCATTATAGGCTGCAAGGCAATTCTCTAATCCTTTTCACTTTGTTAACAGGAAGTTGTCAATCATCTTGTTGTCAGGCTGCCAGGGCCGACTTTCTCCAACCATGTTTACATGCCAAGCGTGGCCTGCCCAGTGCATCACCTTTGGGGCAGAAGGCAGGAACACACAAACATTTCTCGGGACTCTGTTTGTCACTCTGGGAATCCAACAAGATGCACATTTTCGTTTTCAAAAAGCATGCTGTTGAATTAAGACCTCTTCTCCCCACTGCACTCACCATCCCAGTCAAAATCCTGTGTGAGTCAAACGGGTAAGAATGGCACATAAAAGCACAATACACTGTGCAGAGTTTATTTTTATTTTTACCTCTAATAAGAATCCAGCTCTCAGGAATATCCTGGATCAAACTTTTATGGGTGACATATTGTGATGGACAACTGCAACCATATAGCAGCAGAATTTGGATTTGATATCCCGCTTTATCACTACCCGAAGGAGTCTCAAAGCGGCCAACATTCTCCTTTCCCTTCCTCCCCCACAACAAACACTCTGTGAGGTGAGTGGGGCTGAGAGACTTCAGAGAAGTGTGACTGGCCCAAGGTCACCCAGCAGCTGCATGTGGAGGAGCGGGGAATCGAACCCGGTTCACCAGATTACGAGTCTACTGCTCTTAACCACTACACCACACTGGCTTATATATAGATATATAATATACATCTATTGGAATATATAGACCTATTGGAAGTGTCAAAATCCTTTCCAAGGATTATGTTGTTATGGGTTCAACGGAAGCTGCAGCTAGAAATTGTTTATTGCATATTTACACTAAAAGTTACATTGCTATATAGACCAGGACAATATATAACAAAAAGCTTAAGTTACATAATGGGGTTAAATTACTATGGGCAGGATTCAACTAATGAATCCTGTCAGCTGAAGCCCTATGCAAGGGCTTCTACTAGTGCAATGGGGCCTTCTCCCCTTCTCTTCCTGGAAGACCTCAAAACTGGCTTGGTGTGGTGGCTGGGTTTTAAAACCTCTGCAATAATGCATATTGGGATGCGGGTGGCGCTGTGGGCTAAACCACAGAGCCTAGGACTTGCCGATCAGAAGGTCGGCGGTTCGAATCCCCCCGTTGCTCGGTCCCTGCTCCTGCCAACCTAGCAGTTCTAAAGCACGTCAAGGGCAAGTAGGTAAATAGGGACCGCTCCGGCGGGAAGGTAAATGGTGTTTCCGTGCGCTGCTCTGGTTCGCCAGAAGCGGCTTAGTCATGCTGGCCACATGACCCAGAAGTTGTACACTGGCTCCCTCGGCCAATAAAGCGAGATGAGCGCTGCAACCCGAGTCGTTCACAACTGGACATAATGGTCAGGGGTCCCTTTACCTTTTAATAATGCATAGGGGAGGAGGGAGGGATTTGGCAAGTCGAAACGCTGGCCTTGATGGAATAATCAGCTTAGCGAGGCGTTGAATTCCTCCCTATATATTTTATTTTGAAGAGATTTTTAAACTGCCCTTAAGTAAAGCTATCAAGGCAGAGCAAAATCAGGACTAAATAAATATCAATTAAGGCAACACACTGGGTGCGTCCAACACTCCTATGAGCTTTGGAACAGGTGGGTCTTGTGCAGCATTGGAATTTCTGCCCCTTGACAAGGAGAGAGAGAGAGAGAGAGAGAGAGAGAGAGAGAGAGAGAGAGAGAACAAACACCTTGGGACTCCCTGACACAGCCTCTGCTGCAGCAGAGACAGGTGCAAGGGAGTTCTGGGAACATGACTGTGGTCCCTGGCTCCTGAGCACTTGTTGCACCTACAGGGAATGGATCTTCTACAAGAAGACAAGGGTGAAGGGCACAAGAAAGAGCAAGGAAGCCAGAACTGTGCAAGGCACAAGACCTCCAGGGCAGGGGGAAAAAAACAGCAGCAGCAGTCTGGCTCATCAACAGAACAAGTTAGGAGGTGGGTGAGCTCCCGTTGCTAGGTCCCTGCTCCTGCCAAGCTAGCAATTCGAAAGCATACCAGTGCAAGTAGATAAATAGGTACCGCTCCGGCAGGAAGGTAAAGAGCATTTCCGTGCGCTCTAGCACTCATCGTTGTGTTCCGTTGTGCCAGCAGCGGTTTAATCCTACTGGCCACATGACCCAGAAAGCTGTCTGTGGACAAATGCCAGCTCCCTCGGCCTGAAGCGAGATGAGCACCGCACCCCAGAGTCGCCTTTGACTGGGGTCCTTTACCTTTACCTTACTCACTATTTCCAAATTCCACCAAAAAAGAAACCTAAACACGTTCTCGAGGGACGTCGAAGGACAGATCAGCCCAAACAACTTTCTAATCACTGCATTCAGCAACGATGGCTCTGAAATTTTCTCTTTTTAGGGAAACCCTGATAAGGTTCTAAGGCACCCCTGGAACATCTGGAGGGCTGAGGTTGAGGAAGCCTGGCCTAACCATCCTATCTCAAGCAGATTGGAAAGAAACAAACAACCATCTGCAGAAACCATTTTTTAATCCTCTTTTCCACCAGATGGTGTGAAGACATCATCATTATTAGAGGGTCTTGTTTCTCATTCAGATTGTCAATTTTCATAATTTTCAGGGTTCCCCTGTACTCCCTAATCTACATTCTGGCAAAACAAACGAAAATTTGTTTTACAAACTCAGCTGAGATGTTGTTTGGGAGAAAAAGGGAGAGCGGGTGGGGGTAGGGGATATGTAAGCACTGCTCTCCCTCTTGTGTGCGTATTTTAATAGTGTGGCTGAAACATACTTGACACTCATCTGGGAGACCAAAGTAGGCCAAAGGTTTCATGAAAGAGGCAGCAGAAAGAGATCTGGTTTCTTCATTTCATGTTTTTTATGCTGACTACGAAGAGAAAAGGATGCTTGAGTTGGTTAGCAGGATCTAAAGGTCCAGATAAATCTTTCCCATGTGCTATATATACTGCATTATGTATATGGAAAGTCACTTATAGCACAGCTAAGACAGTTGTCAACAGGTGGGGTCAAGCATATGCCATAAAAACCTTTTGCTTCAGGCTTCACAACTCCCATGTTCTAAGCAGTCATCAACTACCATGAGGTGTGAATTGCCATGTTGTGTTTCAGAGGCCCTCTCCTTCACTGAAGTGGTGATATTCTTAATAGTGTGGCTTTAGGGGTTAACTGAACCCCTATTGGGGTGACTGAGTAAGTCAAATATGCACATAAGATGACAGGCGGCAAAGTGACCATCAGTTGCTACTCTCCATGCCTATGCTTGGCCCAGGATGAGCTCTGCCTGCTTTGTCTTTGCCCATTTCCTTGGTGCCAGCAGGGGCAGTCCGTTCCAGTTATTGCAAGGTCTCCCCCTTTGAGTGTCAGTAATTGTTCATCATTTGTATTATTCTCATTTTGGCACAAAAGCACTCTCTCTCTCTCTCTGTGTGTGTGTGTGTGTGTGTGTTGGGGAACACAACTCAGAGCCAGTGCGGTGTAGTGGTTAAGAGCGGTAGTCTTGCAATCTGGGATACCGGGTTCGCGTCTCCGCTCCTCCACATGCAGCTGCTGGGTGATCTTGGGCCAGTCACACTTCTCTGAAGTCTCTCAGCCCCACTCACCTCACAGAGTGTTTGTTGTGGGGGAGGAAGGGAAAGGAGAATGTGAGCCGCTTTGAGACTCCTTAGGGTAGTGATAAAGCGGGATATCAAATCCAAACTCTTCTTCTTCTTCTTCACAGATTGTGCACAGGGGCACACCTATCAGAAATCATAGGGAGGGAAATACTTTACATTGTGTGAAAAGTATAAAATTTGCAGCACCAAATGCAGCGGTGGCCACTAGTTTTAAATGCTTTAAAAGGACAATAGTCAAATTCATCAAAGCACAGCAGCAGCACTGGTCATGATGCCCACACAGACCCATCACGTTCAAAGGCAACATGCCACGGAGTATCACTGGCTGAAGAGGAATGGTGGCCGGACGGGGAGGTGATTGTCTTCCAACACGCTCTGGGTGTGGACTTCCCAAAAGCATGTCGTTGATCACCGTGAGAAACAGGATGAACATTTGTCTGCTCTAGAAGGAAGTCAACAGCTAGCATAAGCAAACCAGGCTGGGAATAGCCTGCCAAAGACAAGTGTGGACAGAGCACAGGTCCGCACAGAGATGCTAGCTCCACTGACCTGGTCCACACAGAATGCTAAGCCATAGGCTTAGGTTACCTAAGTTAAACTTTCTTATTTGAACCCAACACTTATTCACCAAGGTTTGCTGTGGTACTTTTCCGTCTATAAGACGCCCCCATGTATAAGATTCCCCCTATTTTTGCGGACTCAAAGTTAAGAAAATGGGGGATTGCCCAGGATTGTTGAACTTTATTTAGGGGGGATTGCCAAAAATCGCTCACCTGCACCTGTCCCAAAATCCGCCTTCCGTCTGTCCCATCCCAGCAGAAGCTGCCTGTCGCCTGCCCAATTGCAGGAGCATCAGCCAATCAACACCACCCATTGACGCAGCAACCAATAACACGCACAACAGCTGCTGACAGCTGCGGCAGCAACCAATCAAACGTCCACCCTGTGCACTACCCATGTATAAGACGACCCCCACTTTTTGGCATGATTTTTTTAGAAAAAACGTAAGTCTTATACATGGAAAAGTACGGTAATTCTTGGTCAAAGTTAACCTTAGCATTAAGCATTAAATGCAAAACCAGAACCTCTAGTCGCAGCTCACAAGATGCAGAACCACAAGAGAACCACAGCTCAAAACTCAAAATAAATGGGGGGGGGGGAGAAACTATGCTGTGACATGGTCTGAGTGAGTGCCTGTGAGATGCTCTGGCTTAAACCACAGTATATAATAAGCTATGATCAACATTAATTATGGTTACTGCACAAGTCCAGGCCTTTATCACAGGGCTGGAGAAATCACTATTCAGAAAGATGCAGAGCTGTGAAACACTCAATTTCTCAGTGGATTTTTATTTTTTTAAAGAATCCATTCACACAGCCTTCCTGAACCTTGGGTCCCCAAAAGATGTTGGGCCCTAATTCCCTGCCACCACAAAACTACCGTATTAAAAGTCAGCAAGAGCCACGTGCTCTTGAAAGGGCGTGCAGCTCTTGCAGGCTTTTCTACGAGATGGGGGAAGGACAGCCCATCAGTGACGGGCTGCCCTTCTCCCTCCTTGGGGGAAAAGCCCCCAAGAGCCGCACACATGCTCCATGCAGCTCGTGAAAGGGAGTGCGGCTCTTGGGGGCTTTTCTGGGAGGTGGGGGAAGGGACTGAGGGGCTGCCCCCTGTCCCTTCCCCCACCTCCCGCAAAAGCCCGCATGCTCTTTAAAGGGTGTGCAGCTCTTGGGGGCTTTTCCCCAAGGAGGGAGAAGGGACTGACTGGCCATGTCAGTCCTTTCTCCCTCCTCGGGGAAAAGCCCGCAAGAGCCGTGCGCTCTTTAAAGGGCGCGCAGCTCCTGCGGGCTTTTCTACGAGGTGGGGGAAGGACAGCCCATCAGTGAGGGGCTGCCCTTCTCCCTCCTCGGGGAAAAGTCCGCAAGAGCCACGTGGAGCATGTGTGCGGCTCTTAGGGGCTTTTCCCGCCTGCATTCGTTCCATAAGACGCACACACATTTCCCCTTACTTTTTAGGAGGGATAAAGTGTGTCTTATGGAGCGAAAAATACGGTATTTGCATCCCTTCAAAAGGCTACATAGGAGGTTTACAAAGACCCCCATCTTCCAGAATCTGCATCTATGCTTTCAAGGACAGCAATGATAATCTGCACCGTCAGCTTTTCTTAGCTCCCTGAGATTGATTTCGGGACGGTCATCTTGGGAGGGTTTCGACAAGTTTTGCTATTTATTGTCCTGCTGCAATAAGGAGACAAAGCAAATATGGTAGTTGCAGCCTCCTGTCACTTCCCTTCGCTGCTGCACAGAATGAGTGGCTATGCAATAGAGAGAGCACATTACATCATGATTCAGTGGTACTTCCCAAAAGATGAACATTTATCCAAAGGGGAAAACAATCTGAGTGCAGAAAGTGGATTAATTAACTGGAAGCAAAGTGCAATTTCAGATTGCTGGCAAGCAAGATGCATTCTCAGTCAAGGCAAAAATGAACAACTGGCTTTACTCAGGTCACCTCTAGAGAGGAGCAAGCGTACAATGCACGGAGGCTGGAGAAATTTATTTTCAAACATATGGAAAACATTTGTGGATTGTAATGAGGCTCTGGAGTTAAGGTAACATTACATTATATCGCAGAGATGCCTCCTAAAGGGAAACTTCATCTTTGGAAAACACAAAGTGCATAATTCAGCCACAGTAAAGACCTTTTAGCTCCCTTTGATTTCATTGAAAAGGGGTGAGGAGAAGGGAGAGAGTTAAGTGCATAGTAAACATTCACTGGAAATCAATAGGGCTCATATATGTGCATTGACTTTACCATCTTCCAAATAAACAAAAAGCTTGTTGCCCTTTCTGGAGATATTGAGGTCTTTGTTCTTGGGCTGATTCAGGGACAGAGCACCATCTCTGCACAGACTGCAATTTGCGTTTTAGGGGGGGGCAAAGATATACACAGCTGATGTTTTTAAGCAGTACAGACCTGATGCAGATGTACGAAGGTATCTTTGCTGAATAATTTGCTATTAAATAGTATGCCATTCCAGCTCTCCTACAGCAAACCGCCGCCCCCCCCCCCACCTTCCATTCTTCCCTCTCCATCACAGAATCTATAAATCACTTCTGGCAGGTAGCTGGGAAGCAGCTGCTAATGATAGTTTTGCTCTGGAGGAGAGGAAGTCACCTTTTAACCCTGCCTGCTGTTGTTTGTCTTATAACTATGACAAAAGAACAGAGGAAAACAACATGCCAACTGTCACGGAGGATCTGGTCACACGCTACAGGAAGCCCATTTCAGGCCCTCAACATTATCAAGCCTTTCAGGCTGAGGATGTTCGTCCTCTATAATCAAAAAGATTTGACTGCATGGGTCCCGGTCCCCATGTCCCCCCCCCCCCCCGCAACTATCTCCACTATTTTCTTCTCATGCAAAAAGAAAAGAAAAGTTCAGCAATACATTAGAGAGGCAGTCATGGTTTTCCACTGAAACAGAAATGTCAAAGAAGTCTGTTCTTTCAACTTTCATCTCCTTACTTTAAAAATCTGCAGATACTTCCAGCAGTCCCCTCCTCTGCTTACATGATGGCAACCAGATTTTACATTGCTCATTAAGAACAGACTTAAAACTGGGTCACACAAGAGGTTTTTTTCCTTACGGACCGGACTGAGACTCTGCCTCCCCAGTGCACACATCTGTTCTGTTGTGACAACTCTGCTTCAGCCAGCAAGGAGGTCTGAAACAGGGTATTGCAGAGGTGGCTCTGCTGGATCCAAAGTTTGTTGGCTCACCTGACAGGCCCCTGGATTGGATCCCTAAACTGTGGCTGCCTGGAGGTGGCGTAGTTATTGTTAGCCCTCTAGAATGCAAAGAACTGAACAGCAAGTCCCTGTTTCAGTTACTTAGCAAGAAACAAAAACAGGGGCGGCATTATCATTATTTTCAACATGCACAGTATTTTACAGAGTACAGTCATACCTCATGTTATGTTTGCTTCAGGTTGCGCGTTTTCAGGTCGCGTTCCGCAGCGACCCGGAAGTACAGGAAAGGGTTACTTCCGGGTTTTGCCACTCACGCGCATGTGCAAAAGTGGCGAATCACGACCCTCGTGTGCGCAGGCGTGGGTTGCGTTCTTTTCAGGTTGCGAACGGGCCTCCAGAATGGATCCCATTCGCAACCAGAGGTTCCACTGTACAAGGCCCTTACAATCTAAAAACTACCACTGGGAAAACTGAGGAAGAGGGAAGTACAGTAATGTTTTGTTGTTGCAGTTTCAGGCTTAGGGAGTGATCCTTAATCTTTTATGCCCTTGTCACTTCCAGGCTGGGTTATTGTAATAAACTGTATGTATGGGTTTGTCCTTGAAGACAGTCCCCAAGCTTCAGTTGGTTCAGAATGCTGCAGCCGGACATCGCATTGTGCCAATTTTGTTTCGGCTTCATTGGCTACCTATCGTATTTTTTGCTCTATAAGACTCACTTTTTCCCTCCTAAAAAGTAAGGGGAAGTGTGTGTGCGTCTTATGGAGCGAATGCAGGCTGCGCAGCTATCACAGAAGCCAGAACAGCAAGAGGGATTGCTGCTTTCACTGCGCAGCGATCCCTCTTGCTGTTCTGGCTTCTGAGATTCAGAATATTTTTTTTCTTGTTTTCCTCCTCCAAAAACTAGGTGCGTCTTGTGGTCTGGTGCGTCTTATAGAGCGAAAAATATGGTATTTGTCCTGGGCTCATTTCAAGGTGCTGGCTTTGGCCTTGGGACGAATGACCCTGGGACCAGGGTCCCTCAAGAATCACCTCTTCCAGTATAAACTTGCTTAAGACCTGTGCTCTGTTTCTGAGGCCTTCCTTATTGCCTATTCACCAACAAAACGCATGGCTTGTGAGGTCAAGAGAGGGGGACCTTCCAGGAATAATTTATCCTGCCCCACTTCTGCCCATTCTTAAAAAACCTTTGGATCAGGATTATTGTTTCTATCAGAACTTGTGCAGGTCTATACTAATGACGCTGTGTGTTTATAGTTAGTATTGTATTTTAACTTGCTCATTGATATTTAATTATTATTTTTTTTGGTAACGTAGTCCTGAGTATGATTTTTCACAGAAGGGTGGGAAAAGAGGTGCTGAAATAATAGAACAAAGAAATACATATTCACGCGTCTTTGGACTCTGAGAATATCTTTCATTGTACCGATAGCAACCAGACAGATACACGACAGCCTTTAGTGGAGAGCCGCAAAGCCATTCAGAGGGCATAAAGAGCAATTCCTATTGAGAGATACTTACTGTAAAGACATCATCATCTCCAACTTCAGTCTCATTGTGGATTGTTGAGGATGAAGTTGTAGATCCTGGAAAGACATTTTAAAACGGACACTGTTTCTGTATGTAATTATCACAATCCACAACAAGCCTATTGACCCTGGTGCAAAGCTGTGCACATGTACAACTAGGGAATTTGCTTCGTTTTTGGCACAGATGTGTCTTATAACTTATATATAAAAACTTGCCCATGTTTCAAAAGCCAACTGGTGAAAGGTATGCTCCAGAAAAAAGAAGAAAAGGGAAAAAACTAAACAAAGAGCCCAGCTGCATGCTTAGAACGGACGTATATGTTCTCCTGGAATGTGGCCAATGTTTTTTTCCCTGCTTGTTTTTACAGAAGCAATTAATTTTATCTGAATATTCTTGGCAAGATCCAAAACACGTATTTGAAAATGGTAAAGAAAACTGTGTCAAAATAAGGGATAGTTATTCTATACGGGTTAGAGAAGTAACTAAGAAAAAACTGCTTCAACAAATTTAAGTTTAGTTTTTTAAATTGCTTAATCTGGTAGCATAAAATCCCAAACAATTCATTCAAGACAAACAACGATTAAGGCTGAAGTCACAGAAAGCTGCTTAAGAAGTCATGTGCTAGAATCATTTGAAACTTCACTCAATATGAGACTTTGTGAGTCAATTAATATTGTATTCATTTGTGGATTAGCTTCAACTATATAAATTCCTAGATCTTACAGAGATTGAAAGCTGAATAACTTGAATCACATCCTCCCTAAGAAATTGAAAGCTGACAAAAAAGACTAAGACTTTGATTTAATGAGTAGCTCATTTCAGTGAAAAATGTGCGAAATTCAGCCTTCAAGTTATAACAACAACAACAAAGCGACTTAGAAACAAAAAACAGAGTCCCTGGGTGCTGGTTTTGTACCTTCCATGAGATCTTCAATGGCTTTTCTCACACCTCTATCAAATGCTCGTGCATCAGCAGGGCTTAGAAAAGTGAGCCCAAACTTTCTGTTGTCGACTTTCCAGTGATGAAATGTAGGGTTTGCTTTAGTGTAGACCAAGTCCTTCTTCACATAGCATTCCAATACCACCTGGGGTTCAAAATGCAAAGAGGTAAAAGGATGTTAACAAGTGAAGGCCGTGGGTTTGTTAGTTTGGTTCATTACTGCCTCTCGCATCGTCAAAACATGTCTAGTCTCTATGCAATTGCTTTGGTGAGAGAAGCTAGCTCTCTTCACAGAATAGGTCAGCAAAAATAGCTTTGCAAGTGAAACCAAAATGTTTCAAACAGTTCCCGCTGGAATGACAAAGGAACACCATTACATTATACAGTCATACCTCGGGTTGAAGTAGCTTCAGGTTAAGCATTTTCGGGTTGCGCTCCGCGGCGACCCGGAAGTAACGGAGTGCGTTACTTCCGGGTTTTGCCGCTAGCGCATGCGCAGACGCTCAAGTGACGTCCCACGCATGTGCGGAAGCAGCGAATCGCAACCCACAGATGCTGGTCACGTTCGCTTCAGGATGCGAACAGGGCTCTGGAACGGATCCCATTCCAGAGGTACCACTGTACAGAGCCATAGCTGGCGTAGGGGGTGGGGGCTAGCCAGGTGTTTTGTCCCAGGTGAAGCCTCCAGAGGGGCACCATTGAGGCTCCCAGTGTGTAAAAGGTAAAGGTAAGGGCCACTGACCATTAGGTCCAGTCGCAGACGACTCTGGGGTTGCTCATCTCGCTTTATTGGCTGAGGGAGCCGGCGTACAGCTCCTGGGTCATGTGGCCAGCATGACTAAGCTGCTTCTGGCGAACCAGAGCAGCGCATGGAAATGCCGTTTACCCTCCCGCCAGAGCGGTACCTATTTATCTACTTGCACTTTGACGTGCTTTCGAACTGCTAGGTTGGCAGGAGCTGGGACCGAGCAACGGGAGCTCACCCCGTCGCGGGGTTTCGAACTGCCGACTTTCCGATCGGCAAGCCCTAGGCTCAGTGCTTTAGACCACAGCGCCACCCGTGTTGTGTATGAAAATGTGCATGGGGAGGGTACCAACCTGGGTCTTGGACCTGGGTTAAATTAAGCCTAGTTTTGCCCCTGATATTATACACTACCATTGCAAACCATTGATGTAGTACAGTATTTTAATATTGCAAACAGATTCCAAAACTTAACCAGAGCTACCCAACTCCCTCTGCAAAATGTGCACCTTTGTCTTGCTTAGCATAAAAACCAAGAAGTTACTCTAGTAGACAAATGTAACAATAAAGTACAGTTCTAGTACCGTTAATAAGGATATGCAAATTTTGTGCATAATAAAATCAAATATATGCAGATAACGCGCACACACTCTAACTGCCCCATGGCAAACTAACTTGTCACACCCGGCCACTTATTCTGCCTTCTTCTGTAGTGAGCGGCTTGCCTCATTTCTTTGATTCAACTGCAAATATTGAAAGAGAAAATGTGGTGCAGTGGATACTGAATTGCAAGTCGGATGGGGAGACTTTGGTTCAAATCTCCACTTGGCACAGAGTTGCTATGAGGATTAAATGGCAGCGACCCCATGTACGGGGGCTCCAAGCTTCTTAGAGATTACAAAAAATTGTGTTCTGCAAGCGTGTTGGTACTATGGGTGCACCCTGTTAAGTTTCTGCCTATGGGACATTTTATTGTTTTACATTTGATGTGCCTATGCAGGGATTGCTGCTGTTGTGTTCTCAGTAGCCAGCCTTTTATCAAACAGTGGCCCAGGGTAGGTGTATTTATCATATTTCACAGCCCAAACCCCTTCTATGAAGTCAGGATGTATAAATAAGATAGCAGCAAGAGGTCTGTGATTATAGGGCACATTCTTAGATGTGGCCAGATAATGATATATACATACTAATAGTGAACCACTTCTCCAGAAGTAGCCAGAACACCACCATCTATGCACAAGAGGGGAGGGAGGTTTTTATCACCCCAAATTTCTGCAGAATGACCAAAAAACCCTAGACAGAGAAGGACAAAATAAGGACTGAGCATGCTCCCTGGGCATGGAGCACTGAGTGTCTGGGTGAGGAAAGAGGATGGAATGGAGTGTCATGGAAAAGAGCATGGCTGGCCAAAATTCAGAACAAGGGCATGCCGTGCACTGCAACATTTTGATGCAGATCCAACTTTTATCACATAAAGCCAAAATGTGTTTAAGTGACGTTGGGCCAACAACTTCTGAAAACAAGAATTTGGTAAGGATCTACTTCACAGGTCATCCACTGGCCATCCCTGGTTGGGCTAAATCTGTAGGTGGAACCTACGTCTGGTAGCTAGCTGATTCGTTCTTGCAGCTTCATGATTTAAATGTGACACCCCCCCCCCCTTTTCCCGTTTTATTTTGTGCAAAGAAGCAGGAACTCTTGGTTCTATAAACAGCTATGGTAAGGAGCAAAGTGTCAATGCGCAAGATAAATTACCCTTGCATTTTTGCTCCGCCAGCCTATACCTCAAGCAGAAGGTGGCATAAATAATTCATTGCCATTTTAAAAGCTTGAATTACTCAGTACAACGTGACTGGCTTTTTCTATTCTTTATACTACAATCTGCGATGCTACAGGATTTTGGCAGGGTGGAGGAAAATTGTCAGTTTCACTTCTTTGAATAAGAAGGTGTTAACTACATAAAAATGGAGGTTTTAAAACATTAATGTGCAGCTGCTATTTTGGGGAGAAAATAGATTGTGTTCCTTTGAAGTAGGAGGAGGGGTTTTTGCCTGATGGGTCATGTATGGTCTTGTGAAATGCTAAGAAAGCTGTGGAGGCGGGGGAATGAAGGGGAAGCAAATACTGAATTAGATTAAATTACCAGTTTGTCTTTTTGCCTTTCTCCGTGGATCAGAAATCCACTTCTTCCACTGCCCTCTGGGCACATGACCTTGCAGACACCAACTCTACTGAGACCGCCTCCTTCTTGCGGCAACCATCCTCCACTGGAGTCATCTCGGGTCATAACCACAGCTTTGACTCTCACAATATAGCTGTCACTGAAACAGACAACAAGAACAAGAGACCGTTAGATCAGGCAGTGCAGTTCACAAATATTAGCATCCACTTATCAGAATCCATGGGGGTGAAACCAGCTAGCTTCTGCAGATGAAGCCGCTAACAGTGCTCTCTGATATAATAGAGAGATACCAGGACCCTTTCATGCTCCAATAAGCCAAAGTGGTTGATTCATATACATGAAGGGAAGTTCTTACTCTGTGAAGGAGAAATGAAACTCAGCATCCTAAAATCTCAAATATTTTGGTTTTGAATAATCAAGAGTTTGTCTTCAGAAATTGGTGTGTGGGCAGTGAAAGTGTTCCATTTTCTGATATACAGGTGGTACATAACCCCAGTCAAGCTTGCAAAAATCTACCATTTGCCCGATAACAAATGTTGGAAATGTAAAGAAACTGAAGGTACATTCTTTCACCTTTGGTGGACGTGCCCAAGGATTAAGGTTTTCTGGGAGATGATTTATAATGAATTAAAAAGGTATTTAAATATACCTTCTTGAAGAAACCAGAGGCCTTTCTCCTGGGCATAGTCGGCCAATCGGTGTTAAAGAAGGACAGAACTTTCTTTATGTATGCTACAACAGCAGCAAGAATACTTATTGCAAAGCATTGGAAGACACAAGACCTACCCACACTGGAGGAATGGCAGATGAAAATGATGGACGACATGGAATTGGCGGAAATGACTGGCAGAATCCGAGACCAGGGAGAAGAGTCGGTGGAAGAAGATTGGAAGAAATTTAAAGACTATTTACAGAAATATTGCAAAATTAATGAATGTTAGAATGATGTTGGATTGAAGTTAAGTGGTTTCTAGCTGTAATGGTATAAAAGAATATGAAAAAATTGGATTTTCAATACGTAAAAACCTAATGCTATAATATATTAAGATTAAAGATCAGGATTAAAAAGGAGGGAAAGGAATTGCTGAACTAATAAATTGAACTGGAATACAAAAAAGGGAGGTATGAGGAGGTCCGGGAAACAAGTAATTGAAAGAGAAGTGATGAAAAGATGGAATTGTTTTTAATTGTTTTTTTTTGTATTTTGTATTTTTCTTTTTTCTATTTTTCTCTTTCTTATTTATGTATCCTTCTTTTGAAACTTTAATAAATATCATTTTAAAAAATAATAATAATCAAGAGTTTGTCTTCAGAAATTGGTGTGTGGGCAGTGAAAGTGTTCCATTTTCATGTTTCATTCTGAAACATTATTTTTAATCTTACACATACATTTTGAAGGTAATAATGTATTGCCCACAAAAGCTTGTGCCACAAAAATATGCCTGTATTTCAACAGTCTTGTTGTGGCAGCTTAGGCAGATGTGAACTTTTTGGGTTAAGAATCAACTGGTGGCAATTGGAAATATGTAATTAATCTGAGGGGATTATGAAGGAACTATTTGACTAGAGGCTGAGTTGGAGCAACAAGAAGCCTAGTGCCATAAGTTCTAGGGTTACCATAGGTTCTAAGTGCATCCATCCACTAGTCTGCCTCCCTTTCCCCCCTGACTGGATTACTGCGCCCAGTGGGGTCACCACTCAGCGGTCGTAAAAGACAACTGAACTTTGGAACATGGAATATACGGACTTTGTTGGATAACACAAATAACGAGCATCCTGAATGCAGAACTGCCATCAATGCAAGAGAGTTGCGACATATTAACATTGATATTGCAGCACTTCAAGAAACTCGAAGAGCAGGAGAGGGACAACTGCAGGAAGAAAAAGGAGGCTACACATTCTTCTAGAAAGAGAACGTTGAATACATGGAGTAGGCTTTGCTATCAAAAACAATCTTGTGAAGCTCCTGTCAGAAGTCCCTACAGGCATTAATGAGCGACTTTCAACCCTTCAAATAAAACTTGCCAAAAACCAGAAGCGCTTTTGCACCAACACTGGATGCCAATGGAGACATGAAAGAATTTTTTTACTCTCAGCTGGATACCATCCTATCAGAGATTCCAAAGGAGGATAAAATTATCCTCCTGGGTGATTTTAATGCAAGAATTGGGTGAGATTTCGAAAAGAAGGAAAGAAGGAATTGGCAACAGCAACCAGAACAAAATCTTACTTTTGACTATATGTGCAGCGAACAACCTTGTTATTGCCAAAATACTCTTTCAACAAAAGAATAAATTTAGAACATCATGGAGGCATCCTCAGTTGAACCACTGGGACCTCTTAGACTATGTTATTGTCCGTGCTAAAGATCGCCGTGATGTGCTCCCTACTAGAGCTATGGCAAGTGCCAACAACTGCTGGACAGATCACAGATTAAGATGTTCCATGATGGCTATCAAGATTATACCTCAATGCAGGCTTCAGAAGGAAACCAAGGCACAAAATGAACACTCAATCCCTTCAAGATCCTATTAAGCGGGACTGCTTCCAAACGACTCTTAAGGACCATCTGCTTTCAGAATTCCCTGAAAACATCGAGGAACACTGGACCAAGCTAAAAACATCCATTATTGCAGCCTGTGAACAAACTATTGGATACCAAACCAACAAACACCAGGACAGGTTTGATGAGAATGACAGTGAGATTGAATGCACTATTGACAAGAAAAGGAAGGTCTTTCAGATCTGGCAAAGAGAAAGAAACTGCACCACTATGAAGAAAACCTAAGCCAACGCTAAGGCTGAGGTTCAAAGAAGAACCAGAGAACTAAAGAACACCTGGTAGATTAAAAAAACCCCTCAAGAGATCCAGCACTTAGCAAACACTTGTGATGCAGAGTTTCTTTAAAGCCACAAAGACCTTCTATGGGCCAATAAAACATGACATATGCCCCCTATGCTCAACCAATAGTACCACACTTCTAAAAGAAAAAGAAACTATTGCACTGCGCTGGAAAGAACATTACCAGCATCTCCTTAACTGCAACTCCCACGTAGCTGCTGAGGTCCTCTCACAAATTCCGCAAAAACAAATTAGAGATGAGCTTGCAGTACCTCAAAATCTGGGAGAGTTGTGTACAGCTATTAACCAAATGAAAAACTACAAAGCCAGCGGACCTGTTGGGATACCTGCTGAAGTCTTCAAAGTGGACGGAACTGAACTTACTCAACAAATTCACAAGCTCATGGAAAAAATCTGGGAGAGAGAGGAGATCCCTGCAGACTTTAGGGGTGTGAAAATTATCAATCTCTTTTTTAAAAGGTGATAGAACAGATTGTGGAAATTATCGAGGCATCTCTTTATTAGATGTGGCCAGCAAAACTCTTGCAAGGATCTTAGCAAACCGTCCTCTAACAATATCCAAGACTACCCTTCCTGGATCCCAAAATGGTTTCCGACCTTCTAGGGGGACAGTGGACATGATGTTCACCACTCGCCAGCTTTAAGAAAAATGCAGAGAACAAAACCAACCCCTGTATATGGCATTTATTGACCTGACTAAGTTTCTTCAACACTGTAAATCGTAGTGTCCTGTAGGCCATCCTTCTGAAAATTGGCTGCCCAGATAAATTTGTGAACATCCTTTGACTTCTCCATGACAATATAACAGTAACCATTCACAATGGGTTCAGGTGTTAAACAGGGTTGTGTTATTGCCCCAGCTCTATTATTTTCATTGCCATGATCCTACACTTTGTCGAAGGGAAAATCTCCACTGGAGTAGAAATCATATATTGAACAGATGGAATCTGAGTAGGCTGAAAGTAAAGAGTATGGCTACCATAATTTCTGTCATAGAGCTTCAGTATACTGATGACAATGTAGTGTGTGCTCACTCAGGTTGACCTCCAAACCATCCTAAATATTTTTGCAGAAGCTTAAGAAAAGCTTGGCCTATTGCTCAATATCCAAAAAACGAAAGTGCTGCACCAACAAGCACAAAACAACCCCTCTGCAGTGCCACAAATCCAACTCAATGGTGTAATGTTGGGAAATGTCGGTCACTTCTCCTACCTGGAGAGTTATCTCTCCACAAGGGATGGCATTGATGCCGAAATCCAGCAACGTCTGAGCTCTGCGAGTGCAGCTTTCTCCCAATTGAACTGCAGTGTGTTTGAGGACTGGGACATTTGCAGAGAAACCGAAATGCTTGTTTACAAAGCTATTGTACTACCAACCTTACTGTATGCTTGTGAAACACGGACCACTTATAAATGCCATCTCCAACTCCTTGAAAGATTCCATCAACGGTGACTGAAAATTTTTGCACATCACTTGGGAAGACAGGCAAACTAATACCATTGTACTGGAAGAAGCAAAGATCACCTGTGTCGAAGCCATAATTCTTCAACATCAACTTCGTTGGACTAGTAATGTTGTGCAGATGCCTAATGATCGTCTTCCAAAGCAACTACCCTATTCCGAACTTAAAACTGGAAAGCGTAATGCTGGTGGTCAACAAAAGAGGTTTAAAGACTCTCTCAAGGCAAATCTTAAAAAATGTATTCTTCAAATACAGTTGCAACTGTGTCTGGCTAATCATCAAGCAAAGCCTTGCTTAGATAAATATCCATCCTGTCCCCTAATTGTGTGTGTAAGAAAAGAATACGGACATGAATAGTAATGGTAATTCCTTAATTCATGAGGTGAGAAGAAAATGGTAGGTAGGTAGGTGAAGACCAGCTCAGAACCAGCTCCAGCTGGATTTCCCCTCTCATCGCAAGCTATTTGGTTACCAGTTACCCAGAAGGAGGCCAGAAGAAGAGCAGATGCAGGCAAGACCACCTCAGAACCCACCCCAGGGTTGCTCTACCATCAACTCCCCTGCTGGAAGGAGCCCGATGACGTATTATTATTATTATTATTATTATTATTATTATTATTACTACTACTGCCATGCCTTTTTCCCTGACTGGGACTCAAGCCAGCTTACAGGTAAAAATAAGAACAGCTAAAAACATAGGAAAATAACCATTAAAAACAATTAAACATTGGTTGAAATTATAGATAGATGATAGATAGATAGATAGATGATAGATAGGTAGAAGATAGATAGATAGATAGATAGATAGATGATAGATAGATAGATAGATGATAGATAGGTAGAAGATAGATAGATAGATAGATAGATAGATAGATAGATAGATAGATGATAGATAGATGATAGATAGATAGAAAGACAGTTATACAGCTCATCAATTAAAACCATATAATCACAACAAAAACAGAACCAACCCTTTCATTAAATGCAGTCAGTTCCACAAAGCCTACTGGAACAAGGTCTTCAAAACAATAAGGGAGCCAGTCTAGCTTCTCCAGGGAGGGAGCAGCCACCAAGAAGGCCCTTTCCCACATTCAAACTAACCTTGCCCGTGAGGCTGGCGGGTCTGAGAGAAGGGCCTCCGTCAAAGATCTCAAAACCGAGGCAGGTTTGTATGAGGGAATATGGTCTTTCAGATACTGCTGCCATTGTTTAAAATACTGTACTACTACTTCTTTTTTTAAAAAGATAATATAAGCTGCCTTGGAAGGATTTGTATCTGGAAAGCTGTGGTGTAAATTACTGTAATAAGTAAATTAAAAATTAAAACTTGAACATATCCTGTATTCCAAACATTCAAATGAAGTATTTTTCTTTCTTTTAGAGGTTCTCTCTCTCTGCCTCTCTTCCCTGAATTCAAACATCAATTTTACCAAAAACACTATTTTCCACATTCTTTAAAAAGATGGATTTCAACTTAAATATCACATGATTGCCACTTTGAGGACAATTCTGCCTCAACAGCACTAAACAAATTAGTCATTAGCTTTGATCCTGTTCACTTACTGTTTCCTTTATATATTCAAGAATAAACGGATTCAAGAAGGGAACCCAAATCTGTCATGTCCTGAATTAATAACCCCTTTCCCAACATCCAAATTGTTTCCAAAATATATAGTAGACAACCATACTAAGCCTGAACACTCAAAGCTTGCCTGTGAACCCTTTTCTAACTGTGTACAAGACTGAAGCTCCCATCCCACCCCCAAAATACAAAATATACTGAAAACTAAATTTGATACCGAGCTACTTCACGCAACACTGACACAACAACATTTCCTGGTTAGACAGTGTTGTGGGACATCTCTGGGAGAAGAAAAGTCAAAGGAACAAGCCCTCTGACAGACTGAGATGATGAGACCAAGAGTGGCTCCAATGTTCAAGAAGGTGGTTGGCTCCTGCACGTGCTGCAGAGGGAAGTGAGGAGGCGATGGGGCTCGTCAACCTGAGAAGGTGGCCTATCTAGAAGAAGGAAAACTCTGATCCTAAACTTTTGCTGCCTTGCATCTTTGGGAGAAGAAAAAACCAAGGAGTGAACCGTACAGAAATCCACAGTGGCGTCCCTAAGATGGTTGGATGGCTCCTTGTACACCTCCTTCCAGCAACTCCTGCAGCCAAGCTGGTGCCAAATGTATTACTCTGCTTTCATTTGGGCACCGCAGGACCTCCATACACACTGCCCAGGTCTGCGCACCAGAGAGGTCACTTTGTTGCTGCTAACGCAGCAGAAACAACGCAGGAGACAATACTTAGAAGAAGAGTTTGGGTTTGATATTCCGCTTTATCACTACCCTAGGGAGTCTCAAAAAGGCTAACATTCTCCTTTGCCTTTCTCCCCCACAACAAACACACTGTGAGGTGAGTGGGGCTGAGAGACTTCAGAGAAGTGTGACTGGCCCAAGGTCACCCAGCAGCTGCATGTGGAGGAGCGGGGAATCGAACCCGGTTCACCAGATTACGAGTCTACCGCTCTTAACCACTACACCACACTGGAGGCAATAGTTACACATTCCTGGTCTCTGCAGCCGCAGCAGTCAGTGTTATTCTCACCCCTGGAGATGCACTCCATTGTCTTGAGACAGATCTGTGCCAACAACAGATAGCCAGGCCATAAAGGTGTGCCAGGACACATAATCATTTGCTACCCAGCCCTTTTGAGGATACCTTTCTAACATTCCCTCAGGGCAGAAAAATGTAGTTGCTGCTTCATGGTATCAAACACACCAGAAAGAGACGGTAAACCACTCATGAAACTATTTTCGACACCAGTTAAAATGTATACAGTGGTACCTCTGGATGTGAACGGGATCCGTTCCGGAGCCCCGTTCGCACCCAGAAGCGAATGCAACCCGCGTTTGCGCGTGCTGCAATTCGCCACTTCTGCGCATGATGTCATTTTGCCCGTCTGCGCATGTGGCGAAACCCGGAAGTAACGCGCTCCGTTAATTCCGGGCCGCTGCAGCGCGCAATCCGAAAATACCGTATTTTTCGCTCTATAAGACACACCTAGTTTTAGAGGAGAACAAGGGGAAAAAAATTCTCTCCCTCTCTGCGCAGCGCACCTTCAGCGAAGCAGCAGGAGAAGCGGAACCCCTTCCATTTCTCCTTTTCATTTCCATTTCATCGAAGGCTTCGCATTGCTTTCGCTGAAGCCATGGAGCCTGCATTCGCTCCATAAGACGCACACACATTTCCCCTTATTTTTTAAGAGGGGAAAAGTGTGTCTTATAGAGCGAAAAATACGGTATTTATCCTGAAGCTACTTCAACCCGAGGTATGACTGTACTCTATTGTATGGCCACTGTACCTTCTCTCTCAGAATGAACACAAGAAGAAACAGCATATTTTGAACTCTTCAAGACAAAACTCACACAATAAATGTACCACCATCTCCCCAGACAGCCAACAGAACGATCTGGTGGAAACAAGAGATTGCCATATGCAGTAATATGTCATTCCGTAAGATGCAGGACATGACGGCTGCACCATGGCAGGATTCAGCCCTGGTGCTATACTGAAGTGAAAGTGCCCCTGCCCAGCAATAGCTCCACAGATCCTTTCCTGTATCCACTTTCCATAGCAGAACCACCAAGGTCACAGACGCCCTTGAATGTGTCCCTTGTAATGTGTAACCTGTAAGCCCAACAACTCAAGTCCATTCTTGCAGCAGAGTTTCATCTGTGCAGTCTGCTCTTACTTGTGTTAATTGGCTGATTTAGCTACTTTAGCTCAACTGATATCTATGGTGGTGGAAGCTTAGGGAAAATGCAGGTCTCTGGACTCCTGAGCTACGTGGAAACCTGCCAGCCCTTTCCTTCCATCGCAGTGTCCCAAGGTTTGCATTCATCCCACCCAGAACAAGACTCATAAATTCATCCAACACTGAGGTGGGTAGCCAATTAGCAGGAAAAGCAAAATGGAGACTCTCACTTACAAGGTTTTCTTCAGCATAGCTGGGCAGCATACCATACAGAAGCGAAATATATTGGAGGCTGAGGGGGTGAGATGCCTATCATATGCCCTACACGCCAGCATCCACCAAGCCCATTCCCTTGCGCTGTTTCCATGCGCTGCTTTGGTTTTCCCAGCAGTGGCTTAGTCATGCTGGCCACATGATCCGGACAAACTATCTGCGGACAAACGCTGGCTCCCTCGGCCAATAAAGCGAGATGAGCACCTCAACCCCAGAGTCGTCTGCGACTGGACTTAACTGTCAGGGGTCCTTTACCTTTTTATATTTCGTTTGCTATTCACCGAAACAGATTCAGTGTAACAGCAGTATCCTTTCAATTTATTTATTTTTAAGTCTGCACTGCAGAATCATCTTGCTTTGACTTAAAATACAACTACAGTACTTGCAGTTTATCTCCAGGGGTGTTTAAAATCTAAAAATACTTTCTGGACTGTATTCTTTAAGTGCTCCTTGGCAAACATAGGACTTGGGTCAAGAAGCAGAACATATGCGTTTAATTATCTGCTGTCTCTAAATGTGTAGCACTAACAGCGCTCCAACACTCCCCCCCTCCCAATTCTCTTTCTATTTCATTTAGAAAGCAGCAAGAACAAGAGGCACAAATTTGGTTACTCAAATATAGCTCAAAACACACTAACTGTCAGCTTTCTTGCTATAACATAAACAACTAATTTCCTTCCAAAATGCGTTTTGTACAATAATTATACTTATTATTAATATTTACTATTTATGTAGTGCTTTTAAGTAGTTCAAAATACTTACGCAATAATCCTTACAACGGGGGTCAGAAAGGTTTACCTCGCCTGGGCCGGTTCACTACAGCGGAGGTCTCCCCGTTAGCCAGATCGCGCGGGCGTGTAAGTGTGCGCCCACGATTTCCGGTGTCTGTGTCTGCACAGACGCATTTTGCAGCGCCGCAGAAGCAAGTCCCCACGCCATGCTGGTTTAGCGCAGCACGCAGGGACTCGCTAAGTGGGCTGCTCGGTTTGGGGTTGGCTTGTGGGCCAGTTAATAATAATAATAATAATAATAATAATAATAATAATAATAATTTATTATTTATACCACAGCCACCTGGCTGGGTTCCCCCAGCCACTCTGGGCAGCTTCCAACAGAATATTAAAATACAGTAATCTATTAAACATTAAAAGCTTCCCTGAACAGGGCTGCCTTCAGATGTCTTCTAAAAGTTTGGTAGTTATTTTTCTCTTTGACATCTTGTGGGAGGGCGTTCCACAGGGCAGGTGCCACTACCGAGAAGGCCCTCTGCCTGGTTCCCTGTAACTTGGCTTCTTGCAGCGAGGGAACCACCAGAAGGCCCTTGGCGCTGGACCTCAGTCTGAATGATGGGGGTGGAGATGCTCCTTCAGGTATATTGGTTAACGATTCCCGTGGGCTGCTTGTGGCCCATGGGCCTTAGGTTGCCTACCCCTGCCTTACAACAATGTTTTAGTTAGGTTGGAATTGTTATCCCCATGCCAGGCTGAGAGAGTGTGCATCTTTGTGTAATCAATGCACCAAGATACACAATAACTTCATCCATCTGTATGCAAACTTTTAATCCTGGCTTCTCACCTCCCTTGATGCAAGTGGGGAAGAGGACAAACAAACCAAGGACACCCAGTTTAACCATAGCCTCCCGTTCTCCGCAAGCTGGGAATTATGGTTCATGGTTTCCAAACAAGCCAGGATCAGGATGCCAACCTTAAACATGGATTCAACATTCTAGTTTGTGTGCAAGAGAATAACCAAAATTAATTCAATTTGCTCCCAAGCTGCAGCCATCATCCCAAGCTCCAACAATTCATCAATGGGCTCTTTTTAAGTAATCAATGTGAACTTTTTCATTCTTAGTGTTGTATTACCTTGATTAAAATTATGGTAAAAGGGGAAAGGGAAGTCCCAACCTGTTAAATCATCTGCTCCCTGCCTAAAGTTTAAAGGAACGGCTAAACTGATACAGGAAAAGCAGTAGCTGTGCTAACTTGCATTAGGCACAGTGTGAAAACATTTTGAGTGCCACCTCCTCCCATTAGCCTTAACGCTTTAAAACAGAAGAATTGTAGCACCACAACAGATGTAACACTTGAAACAGACCTACTGTGGCATAAACGTCCAAGGAGGAGAGAGCCCACCTCATCATATGCATGGAAGTAGTAGGCAGGTAAACAACCAGGTGTAGAGAAAACATACCGTATTTTTCGCTCTATAAGACGCACCAGACCACAAGACGCACCTAGTTTTTGGAGGAGGAAAACAAGAAAAAAAATATTCTGAATCTCAGAAGCCAGAACAGCAAGAGGGTTCACTGCGCAGTGAAAGCAGCAATCCCTCTTGCTGATCTGGCTTCTGGGATAGCTGCGCAGCTTGCATTCGCTCCATAAGACGCACACACATTTCCCCTTACTTTTGAGGAGTGAAAAAGTGAGTCTTATAGAGCAAAAAATACGGTATGTAAATGCACTCCCCATCTCATGCCAAAGTACCTTAATATCGCTGAAAGAGTATTTAAGAAGGAAAAGGAAATCAAAGTAAACAAGAACAGCTGTGTGTGTGTGTGTGTGTGTGTGTGTGTGTGTGTGCAGCCCTTGCAGCAGCTCGGTCAGCCTCAAATAAAGCTGTCTTTACTTTTCACTAGAAAGCTGAGAGAGAGGAGGTCATACTTTCCAACAATTATAAACAGTTGAGCCAAAAGACCATTAAAATCCAATGACTATTCTATGCAAAGTTCAGTTCTATACAGAATGACCACAGTGACTTTTTGCAACAGCAACTTTTTGCAACAGCAGTAATAGAAAATACTTGAATTTTGTAGTGGGAGCGAACACTTTTGATTTCACTTGAGTTCTGAACGGGGATGGGCGTGTTAGAAACCAAGCGTCATACGGGAGGCTGGGGGACAGCCCTTCTCTCAGATCCTTTGATGATGGCACCAGTAGATAGCATTCTGCTCTGTTCAGCTAAGATTATGTGGTAGGCTGATCTGCTTGCAGATTTCTCAGATTGGGAATAGCAAGAAATCACTATAGTTAAAAGCATAATTCCATCCTGTAACCATCAGTAGGGGCCATGGATCCCCAAATTGCAAATTATTAAAGCGTTTGGGTGTGACGGAAAGGGGATTTTTGCTATGAAGTCAGAAGCAAGTCTCTGGCCTTCAACAGACCAAGCTGGGGAGCTGAAACTCTTCCAAACTTTACTAATTCTTCTTTACACTTTTAATTTAAAGTGTTGGCCAATGCAAGAAATAACTTGGAAAAACCTAAATTGCTTCTCTCTTAGATGGATTTCATTTCGTAGTTAACACCTCCCATCCCCCTCACCACTCAAAAGAGACAAATGCACTAAAGAAATAAGCAAAGCAACTTTGAATTCACTGGCAAAACAGAGACAAACTGCATAAAAACGAACAATTACCCCTCTCACCATAAACAAGTTGTAATTTGAAATGATTTCAGAACCTGTTTATTTTTACAAGCAAGGGGGGAATTAAAATGAGCAAACTTTTCCCAAGCATTTGACTTATAATTCTTCAATAATTCTATAATTAGACATGCATTAAATTACTTTGCACTGATGTGGCTGCAAAAACAGAACCAAGGATGCATGTAACCCTCATATTCTTACACTTTGCACTATGACCAAACTGAGTTCTGTGGAGCACAAACTCCCTTATTTCTCTCCAGAATCTTCAAGTATAGAACAAACCATTTGGCACAGCAAAAAGCTTTAAGAATAGAGCGCTCCTAATGACTCCACAATTTACAATGGAATAATCATCTGGCTCTAAAGCGTCCATTCAGCAAAAGAACATTATAGTGTCAGAGGTCAAAGGTGGAGGTTGTTAAATGGGAACAGACAAAAGGAAAGGGCGGAATCCAATAAAGAGGCAAATTAATGGCTGAAACACCATTCAGAATCTGCACTAACTCCATTCAGCTTCACATTCTGCATTCGCATTCACATGAGGTCATGGTAAAAAGGAATAAACCAGATTGATCCAATTACTTGGAAAGAGCAAATTTCATTGGCTGCCTGGTAGGTGTTTTTTGTTTTCGGGAAAAACAGAGCATTATTTGAAGGCTAGCATTCTCTAAAAACAGAACTGAACTCTAATCTCAAATCTACTGGAGGAATCATTTAACTACAGCAGTTCCTCAGATCTTTTACCTAGGGCTGCCATATTTTGAAGAGCAAAAAAAGAGGACACATTTGCCGACTTCTACTTTTAACTACGGGTCGCTATGGCGACTCTCATTTTAAACACCGCTACTATACGTAGGCTATAGAAGCTGTAATATATATTGCTAGCAGCAATGTTCTTAACTTTCAACAAACGTCCTTCAGATGGCCATGCGTGTCACCACAGTTTGAAGTTAAGCTGGCCCTGCTCTCTCTGGATCTATTTGCTGAGTCTCTGCCTGAAACTCTTCTTCAAAACACTCACGGGAATCACAGCTTTTCTAACACAAAGTTCTTTTCTTTGCAGATCAAGAACCTATCAATACATTATGCAGATTAAAGCAGCAAGTTCCTGAATCGTGCTACTTCTGGCGGCGGGTATGACATATCTGTCAGATCTGAGCGTGCTTCTGCACAGACAGAATTCCCTGCATAACTAGGAAACCAGAGGGGAAAAAAGGTTTAGTGCAGCTTTCTTTGTGGCAAGCGAATGCATATGCAATCCTAGGCTATCATCACATTCTGTGTGATGTGTAGAATGGCTGCAAGTTTAGCACAGTACAAGTTTTAGTGGTGACCAGTAAATTTTAATACCCACTTAAATTTGCATGGAAACTAAATCACTAGCAGCAACAACCCGTCCCCCCCGCCAAGAAACCCCCAAACTCAAACACCAAACTGTTCTGGTGGCTAGCAAGATGCTACCTACTCAGCTGCTTTCCAAGTGGTCTACTCTTGGTGATGAATACAGCCTACATTTGAGACTCTGTAAACACAAGCCAACACTGGGAAATTGAAATGGTTTACTTTTAAACACTGTGGGTAAGTCTCCTAACACCATAAAAAGAATATCTGCTCCTACTTACAGCAGGCTATAAGGGCTGCAGGTCTTTGTATGATAAATAGCAATAAATCCTTTTGGAAAGTATAAATTAGTCTGCATTGCTTGCACACAGAGAAATCAATGCATCACTTTTACCAGAATCACATAAGCAGAATTCCTAGGCTAAAGCATTTTGTTACAATATCAACAAAGGACAAGAACGCTGGCTCAAAAGACAAGTATCAAAAGATCACATTCCTAGTTTTTTTTTATAAACTAAAATGCTTTTCGTTCAAAGGTTTACCTCTTCTAGAATAGATAAAGCTTAGATGCCTGGAGAAAGACCGGTCCTCTAATAGACACACCTCTGGTATTGCCTTAGTCATGTTTCTGGAAGTGGAAGTGGAAGATGTGGACCAGCAAAAACTCTTCTCTCTATTTATTGGAGGGTTGGTCTGAGATCTGGAATCAATGACATCATAGCTTTTGAAGTTAACCAATGAAATTTATTTTATCCCAGATGGGCCAATGGTAGGGAGTTCCTTTCTAGGATACCACCCATGGGATAAAACAAACCTATTAATAGAAGCATGAGATTGTTGACATGTAGACCAGTGAATGGGAGGAGTTCCCTTGTTGTTAGGATGAGGCCGTTTTCCTCCCAGAAAAAAAGTACTGTGCAATCTGCCGTGCTTTTCCTTGCATGAAACAGTGGAAAATGGGATGCCAATTAGGTTTTTTGCTTGGGATAGGCAAAAGGATTTCTATCCCAGGAGAAAGCATATATCCAGGAATCATTGGGAGATGCTATCACTTTGATTGCATTCTGCTGCCCTATCGGTTGATCTTGGGCAAGAGTTATCAGGGGACATGGTGTCCTGTTCTTTTAGATGTGGAGCTACTGGAGTGCTTCTGTGCATTCCTGGCAGAAAAGACACAAAAGGTAATTGCTGCTCAGCGCAATGAAATCTTCTTGTGATGTCCTTCTGGGTCCCATTTCACAGCTTCATTTTCAGCCATCGGGAAGATGCAGGAGTGTTGTTTTCCAGACATAACTCAAGGAGATACTATCTCAACAAGCCCTTAAAAGGCCTGAACCCCCAAAGACATTCAAGGTCATATTTTCCCTTACATCTGGTTGAAATTGCCACAGCATTCTTCTAGGATATTTTTTCTGCAAAAGTTTAGGCTGCAAATGGCCAGAAGTGCAGAATAGAGTTGGCTCAGCAAAAAGCCTATGCCCCCTGCAGAGTTGCCAAAGCAAGATACCTTTTTTGGGGTGGCTTTTGTTGGTGATGGTTGATGTTTCAGCCTTATGAAGATCTGTTTTTAGATCCCAGGTTATAATCAGCTGGTGAGTGAGACAAGTTACAAACAAAAAGCAAGATTAGCAGAACACTCAAAATGTGGAGAAGCCTCACACAACTGGATGGGAAAGTCCAAGGTCACTGTGTTTATGTGATGGAGATTCTTGATAGCAAGAAAAAAGGCACTGTGCAACCTGTCATGCTTTCTTCACATCCTTGTCGATTTGCCTTGTTTACTATTCATATTTCACATTCTCTTTTTAAAGTGTGTTTCTTTGGGGTTCACTATTTGATCGGGGGCAGACTATTGTGATACTTTGGCTAGATTCTTTGGATTAGATCTGTGCATGCTGGTCTGATCCTGACAGCTTGAGACTGTGGGTGGGGAAGGGAGAACTTAATGATTACTGATCACAGTATTGAAAATCACAAGAGAATTGCAGGCTGAAAAGTGACATGAATTCCGTAGGTGAAAAGGTAAATCTCTGGACCAAGTTTTCGGGCGAAACATCACATTATTTAACATTCCAGCAAAAGGCATTTGGGAATGAGCTACATTTTCTGATTTACATCAAACATTTATTTCTCTTCTCTTTGCCTCCTTTGTTCCTCCCCCTGCCCAACTTTCTGTCCTATGAGTCATAAACTCTGTTCTTCAAAATAAAATAAAATGAACGCAGGATGGAGGTGAGTGGGGACAAGAAAGATTGAAAGCAACACTGAAAACAATATAATCCAACTCAGGATATTTCATTCACCTCGCCTTTTGTTATCCCACAAGTACACAAGTGGCAGCCCCCAGACTGACTCCAAGGATAGACCCACATAGTAATCCATCTGGCAGGGCAGGGCAGGCAACATTCTGTCTTCCAAGATCCAGGAACCACTCACTCACAAGTTTCCTTCCCTGATGTCCAGAGAATGAGCATGTAATAAACTGTGAAAATACCGACATATACACATATCCTCTCTTGCCTTTCCTCTTCTTTGCCAATTGGTGAACACTTTGTTTTATTCCAGCAGACTTTTGCTTCATGCAGCAAGTGTTTGTTTTTAAGTGATGGCTCCTGTTTCTTTTAGATAATTGTAGATTTCAAATACTGTAAGATGCGCAGAGTGTGGGGTACAATTGCTTTTAATAAAATAACTAGGTGTCATATTGAGAGAGTGAACACACAGAAGTAGGAATTTTAATGAATTGATAATTCTTCTACAATTGCATCCACGGCTGAAAACGGTCCTCAGAGAATTATTTGTTACTTAATAAAAAAAGACATACAGATGATGTATGTCATTTTTAAAAATCAAGATAACCTTGTCGTTAGACAACTACTATTTTTCCTGTTTCTTCTAAAACCCCCCAGACAAGTCTCCCTGTAGATAGCATGGTCACATGTGCTATGGCTACAGTTCATTAATACAAGTATTGCTTGCCGAGCCGTGTGTCAAAGCATTTGTCCTTCCAGGCTGTGATGCCTTATGATTAACATTTTTGATTATTGTGTTTTCTTTGCTGCTGTTATGTCTGCATTTTGTTGTTGTTATCAAATTAATACAAAAGGGAAAGCATTTATTCAATAACGTTTCTCTATCAAAATTCACTTCTGTCTTTTGGCAAAATATTCCACAGATACGGAAATGATAGGAAGATGGGCTCTGTTGGAAGATGAGCTTTTGCTGGTGAAGCCTGCTTAAAGTTTTGGAGGGGCTTTGAAGGGGACCTAGGGACAACTGGGACATGGTGGTGCTGTGCTCTAACCACTAAGCCTAGGGCTTGCCGATCAGAAGGTTGGTGGTTCAAATCCCCGCAACGGGGTGAGCTCCCGTTGCTCAGTCCCAGCTCCTGCCAACCTAGTAGTTCGAAAGCACATCAAAGTGCAAATAGATAAATAGGCACCGCTCCGATGGGAAGGTAAACGGTGTTTCCGTGCGCTGCTCTGGTTTCGCCAGAAGCGGCTTAGTCATGCTGGCCACATAACCCAGATAAAGTGTCTGCAGACAAACGTCGGCTCCCTCGGCCAGTAAAGCGAGATGAGCACTGCAACCCCAGAGTTGTTCACGACTGTACTTTACTGTCAGGGGTCCTTTACCTTTAGGGACCATTAGCTTAAGCTGTGATGCTAAGCACATCTATCAGCAAAACTGGACCCCTAGGCTTTGTTATGCTTTACAGGCATAGCTATAAATAGAACAGTTGGATTACTGGATCACCAAGCTACACCACCAGGCCGCTGGCAAAATGTAAGTGTCCCCACAGACTTCCATAAATGTACCTCTACCTGTGGTTGAATTTGTCTTTTTTTCATCCCTGGTTTGTTTTGTTTTTTTAATGCTGCATAAAGCAAATACAGACAAAAATAAATAGCAATACAACATTTTGTGAAGTATAAAAGAAATTGTCCCTTTTGAATTTGGTGAGAGGGAAATCCTCCCCAGGGCAAGAGCCCTCTGTTATTACTGCATACACCGTTGGTTAAAGTTTAATTTATCACAACTCAAATCACCTATGATAGATACACTCATCCTTCAAAGAATGTTAGTCACCTGCCAACTCATATAGATAAGAGCCGCAGTCCCCAATGATATGCTTTGCCATTCAAAATCCAGTTCCCTTTTTGCCCTGTCACTCAGTTCATGAAAAGGTAGCCTTCATCCCCCCCCCAACTCCACATTTCAGTCCAAAGGGGTCATGTAAGCACAAGTGAAACATCTTAAATGTCAGCCATTAAAATGTGCCTTCTTTCCACAACACACCACTGCAGAATTTACAGACTTGTTTTTAAAAAGGGAGACTAGAAACCATGGAAAGAGGAAAAATCCGGCTACCTGAGCCCAGGCACACACAGCATCTAAAAGAGGAAGACACGTACCTGCCGACAGATGCCATTTCCTCTACATTTTATAACCCCGCGTGCAGTTTTTACCATTATTGCCACAATAAACCATACGATAAAATGGATTGCCTTGCTGACTCGAGTACCAGCTGGTTAGTAGAAAAGTGGCTCCCCCCCCCCCTTGAATGATTCAGTCTCCTTGACAAATATACTGCATTGTACTAGATGAGTCATCGGAGGACTATTCTGCATTTTATAGGCCAGTTGCGTAGTTCCTCATGTTTCAGCATTCCCACAGTGAATTAAACCAAAAACTGACCAAACACTTCCACCTTTACTCTTCCACCTTCTCCGTTGGTGTTGTTTTAAAAACCAACAGCAGCATCCTGCTATTACCATTTATATCCTGCCCTCACTACTGAACAACCACCCTTGCATTGCCCTGAACCAACTGAATGTCTCAGCACTGCTTCCAGTGTTAGGAGGTTAAAAGCTGCAACACAAACATTTTACTCAGGACCGCTAAGGATGCTAGGGGCTGGTGCTACTCCGATTTGGTGCAATGTACATCTGGGGGAGTGGACTGCACCTGCACAAAACAGTGACCAACCCAGTCAAACACATGCCACGGAGCCATGCGAGGCAGCCCACTGCACCGCTGAGAAGTTAGCAAGAGCCTTGCATTGTGGCTTATGGACGGAATCTGTTAAAAATAGCTTCCCCTGATAAAAGAGCAACTGTCCTTAAAATGCACTGAAATATTTATCACAATGTCATTGTAATAAATACTTAATTCCATTATATATTTTTATTTTCTTCCTCCCATTCGTGATTTGGTGTTGGTCATTATGGAACTACCTATTGGTCCCATCTGGCTGATCACTTGGGGCTTACAGGGGTCAGCAAACTTTTTCAGCAGGGGGCCGGTCCACCTTCCCCCAGACCTTGTGGGGGGCCGGACTATATTCTGAAAATAAAAATAAAAATGAACGAATTCCTATGCCCCACAAGTAACCCAGAGATGCATTTTAAATAAAAGCACACATTCTACTCATGTAAAAACACCAGGCAGGCCCCACAAATCACCCAGAGATGCATTTTAAATAAAACCACACATTCTACTCATGTAAAAACACGCTGATTCCTGGACTATCCGTGGGCTGAATTTAGAAGGCGATTGGGCCAGATCCGGCCCCTGGGCCTTAGTTTGCCTACCCATGTCATAAGCCATGTCCTTCATAGGGAAGCATCAATTGCCAAGGCCCAACAAACATTGGGGGGAGGGGCATAGGGGTCATTTGTACTGGAGAACTGGCATGGGGAGAAGGGGGCGTTTAACCCCTTCTGCACTCACCAATTCTTTTAAAACCCCTTTGCTCCCAGAGGTTGAGCATATTTCTGGTTTTGGAGCTCAACTGATTTAAACATGGCGGGGGGGGGGAGAGGTAGAGGGGGGAAGTTGTGGGAATATTAGTTCTACCGCACAAGTGCTCTCCTGCATTTGCACACTTGCATTTCCAAGTGCAAGGGCTACCAAGGCTGGGGCCAGCAAACCACAACTGAAGCTCCCCTATAAGCAAGTCAAAACTGGATGTCAGCACAAACTTCCTACAAAAGAGAAGGGTGCGGAGGAACAGGACAAGCCTCTGCCTAAGAGAAGGGGAGGCTACATAACAATCAGAGAGCAGGAGCAGGTGGAACCCCCCCCCCCAATTCCACATGTTGGGACCAGCCACTGGAATCGCCTGGAGGGACAGTTAAGAGGTATGTAGAGAAGAAAAAAAAAAAACCATAATGTGCCAAAAAAATAGTGCCACTGTATTCTGCTCTGGTCAGACCTCACCTGGAGTACTGTGTCCAGTTCTGGGCACCACAGTTCAAGAAGGACACTGACAAACTGGAACATGTCCAGAGGAAGGCAACCAAAATGGTCAAAGGCCTGGAAACGATGCCTTATGAGGAACGGCTAAGGGAGCTGGGCATGTTTAGCCTGGAGAAGAGGAGGTTAAGGGGTGATATGATAGCCATGTTCCAATATATAAAAGGATGTCACATAGAGGAGGGAGAAAGGTTGTTTTCTGCTGCTCCAGAGAAGCGGACACGGAGCAATGGATCCAAACTACAAGAAAGAAGATTCCACCTAAACATTAGGAAGAACTTCCTGACAGTAAGAGCTGTTTGACAGTGGAATTTGCTGCCAAGGAGTGTGGTGGAGTCTCCTTCTTTGGAGGTCTTTAAGCAGAGGCTTGACAACCATATGTCAGGAGTGCTCTGATGGTGTTTCCTGCTTGGCAGGGGGTTGGACTCGATGGCCCTTGTGGTCTCTTCCAACTCTATGATTCTATGAAGAGTGTGGAACTAGAATTTTCTAGATTTTGACAGCCGAGAGAAGCCTGAAACAAGGCAGATAGTTCTGCAGGCTTATGTAAATCTAGCTATGCATCACAACCACCCAGTTTTGATCAATCCTGTATTAACTGTGCAGCCTACAGATGACAGAGCTCAGTAGCAGAAGTGGTTTGCGAAGAGGACGGCAGGCGTTGATGAAAGGGATAAGTGAGTCAGATCAAAAGGAGCACAGAGTGCTCTTTTTAAAATTAAAAAGCAGCATTTATCTAAATATTCAGAGTATGTTAAAGGCTTTAGTCACAACTAAGTTATCAAATAATATAGGAGAAGGCTGGAAGAGATCCAGGCTTGCTGTTTCCAATAGGCGATGTTTCTTCTATTGAAGAAACATTCACAAAAATGCTACTATTTTTAAATATAGCTGGCTTTGAAGCTCTAATTGCTTTTAATTCACTTGGATTTTTCAAGGAGAGAAAGGGGGAAATTATGAAGTACCTTTGAAACCGTTTCAAGAGCACAGTGTGACACACGCACACACAAACGGCAAGGTATTTTAAAGATTTCATTTTCATTCAAGATAGCAGAAATGGAAAGGTATCTGATGTTTATTTAAAAGCGTACTTCCTTCCCTAAGAGAGATTAAAAACACCATAACAGGCCTGTTTATCATCCTGAGGCAGGCAGGCAGGGGGTGTACTTGAAAACAAACCAAAGACAAACTTTTCACACTCTGGCTGCTTCCAGACAGATCTGTTTACTGAACATTCATCCTGATTTGTCTGCATATCGGCTCTTTCTTGGGCATTCGCTCCAATTTTCTTTGAAGGGAGGTTACACAATGTTACACCAAAGAATTCTCACCCCACACTTCCCAGTGCATTTTCCTGTCACTTTCCTAACTGCAAGAAGTCAAGTTGTTTGAAGGTTGGGGGTGGGGGTGGGGAGAGAGAAACAGGTTTGTTGTGCAAAAGCACCAAATCCACTTTAATTTTCAAACCTGAATTTACCAGTATGTTATTAAACCCCCCCCAAAAAAACACACCCCCAGTGACAATATGAAAGCTGCCTCTGTTTCAAAAGAGGAAAAAGAAAAGGAAAATCTTCCACAGATCCATGATGGGCAGAAGAATCCAATGGGTATTCCAGAATGGAATACGTAGAGTCTTCAGGCATATATTATATGATTTAATTGACATAAAGCAGTGGTGTCCAAACTTTTTTTCAAAGAGGGCCGGATTTGATGAAGTGAAGGGCTGTGAGGGCCAACCAAAGTTGTTGACCAAAGAGTTGGAGTTGTTGAGCGTCTTTTAGGATTGAAGTTGGTGAGGTTTTTTTAGGGTTTTACCCCAGGAAATAAACTGCCAAAGGGGACGGATTAAACTGACCGGCGGGCTGGATTAGGCCCCCGAAACAGACTCTGGACATGCCTGGTGCAAGGGATGTGAACCAACAACAGCTTAAGCCATCATTGTTGGCAAAACTTCCCATGATTTCTCAACAGACACCTCAAACCAAAAAGCCAAGCCATCCCTGTTGTCCTGCGTGTAATATCGACACAGCGTTGTTTGGATCATATCTTGACTTAAGGAGAGATCAGCACAAACTGTTTTTCCCCCCTTCACAATGCGCAGGAAGTATCTAATTAACCATATCTTCCCATCTGAATGGGAAAACTATGGCTACCAGCTTTGGGATCTTAAACTACCATCCTTTTTGCTCTATAAGACTCACTTTTCCCCTCCTAAAAAGTAAGGGGAAATGTGTGTGCGTCTTATGGAGCGAATGCAGGCTGCGCAGCTATCCCAGAAGCCAGAACAGCAAGAGGGATTGCTGCTTTCACTGCGCAGCGATCCCTCTTGCTGTTCTGGCTTCTGAGATTCGGAATTTTTTTCCCTTGTTTTCCTCCTCCAAAAACTAGGTGCGTCTTGTGGTCTGGTGCGTCTTATAGAGTGAAAAATACAACAACTTTAAATGGATGAAAAGAGGGAGAGAGAAAGGCATGATAGACTCATAAAATTGAAGAGTTGGGAGGTACCTGAGAGTCATCTAGGCTTCCTCAACCTCAGCCCTCCAGATGTTTTGCGACTACAATAACAATAATTTATTATTTATACCCCGCCCATCTGGTTGAGTTTCCCCAGCCACTCTGGGTGGCTTCCAATCAAGTGTTAAAAACAATATAGCAATACAACAATACAATTCCCATATTCCCTGACCACTGGTCCTGCTAGCTAGGGATCATGGGAGTTGTAGGCCAAAAAACACCTGGAGAGCAGAGGCTGAGGAAGCCTGATCTAGTCCAACCGCCTGCAATGCAGTAATCTCAACACACAGCCCCCTATCCAACTTGAAACCAGACCCAACCCTGCTTAAGCTTTGCAAATGTGCTAGCAGTTCTAGGAGGAGACAGGTATGTGTGTTGATTCCTTTTCTTGTACCTTTCTGAGTCTTCTTCCTCCCTTAAATTCGGGTGGTGGTTGCTATATTAGTACCTCTCATACATCTCTACATGTCTGTCTCCTTATCTGCTCCTCTTGGCTGTGTTGCTTGAATGAGGAAGCGAGTCTCTTGTCTTTCTGACATCATGTATGGAGGCAGAGTTTCTATGTGCATTTATAGGCGTCCTGTGACTGTGTTGCATCCGTTGCAAAAGGAGAAGTAGCGAAGGGGAGCTTGCATTTGCATTTGAACTCTCTAACATGAATTCATAGATTTCCCTTGAAGCTTGTCTCTCTAATCTGCAAAATAGGCAGGAGCTTTCTAGAATTTCTCCTGTACATACACAGGTAATTTTGACCTGTAACTTGGATTGTTCGTTTTGGGTGAGTGGTTGAGAATCATTTGCTCTGCATGCATACCGTTTATTCATACTTTCTGGTCATAGCACACCTATCTGTTACAATCTTTGGATGTCCAATAATGTTAGAATTGTTTGGGGCACTCCTGGACCCACTTGAAACCTGTTTGGCTGCTTCTCATGTGTAAACCTTAGTCTTCATTCTCCCCATTTTTTGCTATCTAAGCTGGCTGCAAAATTATGTAACAGGCACACAACAGGCAACGCTTCAGGTTACAGACTCCGCTAACCCAGAAATATTACCTCGGGTTAAGAACTTTGCTTCAGGATGAGAACAGAAATCGTGCTCCGGCGGTGCGGCAGCAGTGGGAGGCCCCATTAGCTAAAGTGGTGCTTCACGTTAAGAACAGTTTCAGGTTAAGAACGGACTTCCGGAACGAATTAAGTACTTAACCCGAGGTACCACTGTATAAGGAAATCAGCCCTGAGTGCTCACTGGAAGGACAGATCGTGAAACCGAGGCTCCAAGACTTTGGCCACCTCATGAGAAGAGAAGACTCCCCGGAAAAGAGACCGTGATGTTGGGAAAGATGGAGGGCACAAGGAGAAGGGGACGACAGAGGACGAGATGGTTGGACAGTGTTCTCGAAGCTACCAGCATGAGTTTGACCAAACTGCGGGAGGCAGTGGAAGACAGGAGTGCCTGGCGTGCTCTGGTCCATGGGGTCACGAAGAGTCGGACACGACTAAACAACTAAACAACAACAACCACAGTATATCCAATTCCCTCTCTTCCTAGTTTTTCTAAGTAAAGAAATTTATCTCTTGAAACAAATCAGGTATATAAATAGGCAGAAACTTTAGCATTTCCTGGGCACCATGAATCAACTTGGATGAATGTCCCCTTTGAATGTAAAAAGCTAAGTATCCCGGATTTAAGCCATCTCTAAGGGTGGGTTCACTTTTAATAGCCTTTTTGAAAATGCATATCATAGGTAAGGTTTCAGGAAAGTGGAACAGTCAGGTATATGAAAGAGAAACCTAAAAATAATAGTCTAATAATACTTCAGATGATAAATGCCATAGATTAGGGAACAATACTTAGAGGTCATCTTTTTACCTAGAAACTGAAGTAGAAAGTCTCAGTCACTGTGGTTATGTAGGAAGCTGAGCTGTCAGAGAAAACCTAGTGACCCCATTACAAAACCTACGTATAAAAATATAAGGCGGCTTTTTGTGAAGCCAGATTCCATAGTGTTATCTCCAGTACCAGTTTTGAGCACCAGTCCTATCAGCTAATCAATGTAGGTAACATATGTGTGTGTGTGTGTGTGTGTGTGTGTGTGTATTAACACTGGCAAATTCGCAGTACCCAGTCAGCACCCTTTGCTCCCTTCAGTAGGTTCACAGGTGGAAGTACCGTATTTTTCGCCCTATAGGACGCACTTTTTCCCCTCCAAAAATGAAGGGGAAATGCGTGTGCGTCCTATGGGGCGAATGCAGGCTTTCGCTGAAACCTGGAGAGTGAGGGGGGTCGGTGCGCACCGACCCCTCTCGCTCTCCAGGCTTCAGGAAGCTATCCGCTAGCCGTGGGAGACGAAGCTCTCCCACGGCTAATGGAGAGCTTGCCTGGCACCCAAAAGCTTGGGGCGCACTGAGCTCAGCACACCCCAAGCTTCTGGCTTCGCGCAGCTCTCCCACGGCTTGCGGATAGCAGCCTGTTCTGGGGCCCGAACTTCCCCCGCCCCAGCCCCGCACCTGGGGGAAAAAAATAATCCCCCCCTTTATTTCCCCCCCCAAAACTAGGTGCATCCTATGGGCCGGTGCGTCCTATGGGGCGAAAAATACGGTACATCTCTCAGGAGCTGAATTTAAGGTGTGGGTTCTACAACACCCAACTTTTACCAGGTTAAAAAGAAAGAAACACAATTTTATCCACTGATTTACCAAGGTTGTTGAAAAGCAATTTTGATTCTGTACTCCTAGAATTGTTCTGAGAAGGGCTTTCAAAAACTTAACATCTTAAAGTTAGGAGTGAACTTTATGTTAGCCTAACCCAAAAGATACTCCACTTTCCCTCATCTAATAACCAAGGCAGAGATAACACATTTTATAAAAAATAAAGGTGGAAACATTAAACTTCAGCCTTTATGGTAAAACAGATCAGGTATAACGTGATGGGTTTTAACAATTAAAGCAGTTTCCACCAATAACCAATAAAATGCAAGATCTAGCCAATGGCAGCTAAAAAAATCCTCACACAAGCAGCAAGGTAATGAAAAGAATAAATTGTGAAGTCCATGTGTGCAACTGAATGCTTCAATGTACAGCGCTAATGTACAGAATAATAAATAAATGATACAATTTAAACTAGAAGCTACATGTTCAGAATCCCAAGGCTTCAAAATAAGATTTGCAACATCCAGTGCTGCTCCCATAAACCCATCCCAAATCCAAATTTAAGAAACTGACATTGGGGATTAAAGAGACCAAAGCAAAAATAAAATCAGTGATTGATTGAATTTGGATCCTATGATATATAGTCACACTTCTGTTTACGTAATGCGCGCGGCAAACCCTGAAGTATTTTACCAGGTTTCATCGCGCACACATGCGCAGAAGCGGTCTTCAGGTTGCGGAAACCTCGGGATTCGACCGGACCTGCGGAACGGATCCCGTCCGCAACCGGAGGTACCACTGTACAATGATGCCCTAATCTTAAGACCACATATTTGGAAATTCCATTGAAATCAATATTGTGATCGTAGCTAGGATCACAAGAGCTGAGTATTGAGGGATTTCTTTAAATGGTATGTTAGGGGAGTAGTACCTCTGGTGTGGGGGGCGCGGGTGGTGCTGTGGGTTAAGCCACAGAGCCTAGGGCTTGCCAATCAGAAGGTCAGCGGTTCAAATCCCCGCGATGGGGTGAGCTCCCGTTGCTCGGTCCCTGCTCCTGCCAACCTAGCAGTTCGAAAGCACGTCAAAGTGCAAGTAGATAAATAGGTACCACTCCAGCAGGAAGGTAAACGGCGTTTCCGTGTGCTGCTCTGGTTCGCCAGAAGTGTCTTAGTCATGCTGGCCACATGACCCGGAAGCTGTACACCAGCTTCCTTGGCCAATAAAGCGAGATGAGCACCGCAACCCCAGAGTCGGTCATGACTGGACCTAATGGTCAGGGGTCCCTTTACCTTTACCTCTGGTGTGGGGTACGCTGCACTCCTTCTGGGGTAGTCTGTGTACCTTTGGCCCCCACCCTGCACTCAGATCTCACCTGTGCTCCTCAAAGTTGTCAGCATGCAACAGCGGCCACACCCCAAGAACTGCTTTGAGTGGCCAACTAAACCAGGTGAGGGTAGCCAATGGGTCTCAAACTGTTGGTGAGTTAGGGACTTCCTGTGTATGTGAAGACAGCCTCTGACAGACTGAGGACACTTCCTATTCTTTGCTCTGGGAACTGCCTTCTAGAATCCCGGGAGAGGGGAAACAGACGACATGTAATTAGCAAAGTTTTGGGTTAGTCGAACAAACATAATTCTTACCCCAAAACATGTACTATACCTAGGAAGAACCATTTGTGTGTTCACAAAGAGCTTCACATGCGCTTCGTGTACATGTGTGAATTTGTAGGTCACTGTTGGAGCCACCTCAAGGTCATGTGGCCCCCATCCCCTGGTCCCAATCGACACACCTGAGATGTGGACATCTGCAGGGGGAAGCCTAGGCCCATGGCTTCCCATGTGAACTAGAAGCACAGCAGCTCAGGGTTTTAGCTCATGTGACATTGGGGCAGGTCCAAAGGGCTGCATGTCCCTGGATTGGGCCAAAAGCCCCTTACTATGTGTGATTCCCCCTCCCCCAAGATGCATGTAAGGGTTTCCCTCAGCAATCTATTCAGCAACCCAGTAATGTTGCTCACTATCATCATAGCCATACAGCAGATAGGGTAGTGGTGCGAGAAGGTAAAGGTAAAAGACCCCTGACAGTTAAGTCCAGTCGCGGACAACTCTGGGGTTGAGGCGCTCATCTCGCTTTACAGGCCGAGGGAGCCAGCGTTTGTTCGCTTCCGCAGACAGTTTTTCTGGGTCATGTGGCCAGCATGACTAAGCCGCTTCTGGCGAAACCAGAGCAGTGCACGGAAACACCATTTACCTTCCCGCTGGAGCAGTACCTATTCATCTACTTGCACTTAGACGTGCTTTCGAACTGCTAGGTTGGCGGGAGCAGGGACCGAGCAACGGGAGCTCACCCTGTTGCGGGGATTCGAACCGCTTACCTTCCGATCAGCAAGCCCAAGGCTCAGTGGTTTACTTACACCACAGGGCCACCCGCGTCCCAGTGGTGCGAGAAGGTAAGGCTAAAAAGGGAGAAGCTTGCCTATGACCATGCAGAGAGTTCATGTGGGAGGCAAGACCTGAACTAGGGCATTCCTAGCAATCTGCACAAACAAACCTAATGCCCAGCTTCTGCCTCTGTTGTTCCTGCTTGTTCCTACAGCTGCTGGCATGTGGATTCCACCCCCCTCGCCTTCCACTAATGATTAACACTTTTCAGGTAAATATACAAAAGCTCTCCTATACATTTTTTTCTGCATCTACTGGCAGTGACACTGTATCAGGCACAAACATGCCCCTGGAATTAGTTTTGCCTGAACTATTTTACTTGAGCACATAGCCTGTCAGCTAACTCTTGGGGGTACCATCTGACGTCTACTAAACACAATCCATCTGAAAAGCCATTTCCCCAGGGGAAAGCACTGGCGGGGCAGAAAGGATCCATTGTGTCTTCTTCTGTGTGCCTTAGGAGAAAAAGGGGGGGGGGAAGACTGTGAAAATGTGGGAGTTTTAGGAACCGTGATTCTGTTGTGAATTCTGCCACTCATTTCATTCCTGTTTCATTGCCTAGGTTGTACTTTTGTATGACGCCCGTTCTAGCGCATTGGAAGTCACCATAAATAAATAACACCACCAATAAAAATAAAATAAATGAAAGATTAAGGTTCCTTTCCTTTGCAGCACTGCGCTTACTCTTAGGAGGAGAAGGTGGCAGATTTCAAGTTACTGCAGCATTTGCAGCTCAGTGTATCCTGCCACCTTTATGTACCCTATAGACCAGGCATAGGCAAACTTGGGCCCTCCAGATGTTCGGCACTACAATTCCCATCATCCCTAGCTAACAGGACCAGTGGTCAGGGATGATGGGAATTGTAGTCCCAAACATCTGGAAGGCCAGAGTTTGCCTATACCTGCTGTAGAACTATAGTTCATGAAAATGTCAAACTTTAGACAAGAGGACAATTTTTAAGAATAACCAGGTGTATAAGAATAACCAGGTGAATAATCAAGCAGGACTAAGAAGAGTTATCTATAAACCAAGACAACTTGCAGACTACTCTCACTTCCAAGATTAACATCCTTTGGCTTCTTTGTTCATGCCCTGAAGCACCATGCAAGGAATTTAGTAGTCACTCAGAAATTCATTACACGCCCCAGCACTGTTTAAATTTGACTATATACTGTACAGAGGGATGCTACAAAACATCATGTCTAGACATGCTGCTGGCAAGCTTTTCTGTAACAGTAAAAGAAAAGAAAAGAAAAGGATTCATTATTAAAGCTGTTCTCTTTGCACCTTTTCCAAAATGCTGGTTTTGTTTTGGCTGTTTTATACGATACAAGGCAAAGATCCCACAAATCTATCCAAAGCATCCATTTTTATTTTTATTTCAAAACGAAAAAACAACCGGGGGTGAAATTCAATGTTGTGTAAGCTTCTACTTCTACTTATGATGGGGCTTCCCCTTTGCAGATGCATTAGACAGGGTCCCCCACACCTCCAGAGTAGACTGAGGAGGGCATGGGAGCTGCAGTACAAAAGAGAAGGAGGGAGAGTTTCATTGCCCAAGCAGAAGCCTCATTCACATCGTACAACTTCCTACACATGCCCCCTTGTACAGTGGTCCCTGAATACTTTTGCCTACCTGAAACACCTGTAGGAGGAAAGAACAGGGCTTGCTAGTCCCCCCCCCCCAAATATGCCATTATCTCCTCCAAGCATAAAAACAACTGCTTTGGGGACTTTTCTGCAAGTGACTAAGAGCATCTTCACTCACCAGGAAAACCATGCATTTTTCAACAAGATTATGAACTGCATGGGGCTACAGCCAGTCAGCGTGCATTTGGAACATCAAACAATTGGGGGGGGGGTTTAAAAATGTGCACTGTCATTAACACTAAAAGAAAAGCCCTAAAAGAATCAGTTACTCAAGCATTTTAACTGCAGTTTTTGATTAGTTTTTGACTGTTTATTCCCCATAGGTGATTGATGTTATGTTTTGAGTTGTCGAGTTTTGCATTATTGCTTTAACATTTTAATCACTTATGGCATGCCCAGCAAGACAGATAAAGATAAGTATCGTTCAAAGTGATCAGGAAAATCCCCTCTATCCCAGCAAATTTTCTGCAAACTACAGGGAACTCAGAAGGCGGGATCAGATACTCACTTCTACTGCTAAATTCTCATTTGCTTCCTGCCAGGCTCCAGGGAAGTAGTAAGTTCAAGTGTGTTTTTGATCAAATCCCTCCTCCAAGTTCTCTGAGCATGGCAGATGACTCTTGGGAAGAGATCTATGACAACCATAAGTAACAGCTGGCTACTAGGGCAAACCAAAATCTGTGGATCCCCTTTTGCCCTCTCACCAGTCTCTTATGCTCCAGGGTAAAGGTAAAGGGACCCCTGACCTAGATCCAGTTGCGGACGACTCTGGGGTTGCACACTGATCTCGCCTTATAGGCTGAGGGAGCCGATGTTTGTCCGCAGACAGCTTCTGGGTCATGTGGCCAGCATGACTAAGCCGCTTCTGGCGAACCAGAGCAGCGCATGGAAACACCATTTACCTTCCCACCGGAGCGGTACCTATTTATCTACTTGCACTTTGATGTGCTTTCGAACTGCTAGGTGGGCAGGAGCAGGGACCGAGCAACGGGTGCTCACCCCGTCACGGGGATTTGAACCGCTGACCTTCTGATCAGCAAGCCCTAGGTTCTGTGGTTTAGACCACAGTGCCACCCGTGTCCCTTATGCTCCAGGTTACATTGCCACAATCATTTGAGGTCCAAATCTCAACTAACCTCCAAAGAAAGAAAGAGTCCATAAAGCAAAAGCAACAAATAATTCTTGTGGTATCTTAAAGACCAAAAAATGTAGTAAAGAGACGTACTGTACAAAATTTTACTCACAGTTACACTATCAGGATGGTCTTGCCTTTCCCCCCTTGTTGCACTCCAATTTGAGGGGGGAGTAAGAGAATCATATCATAGGATCATAGAGTTGGAAAAGATCCAAGGATCATCTAATCCACCCCCTCCCCTGCAATGCAGGAATCTCAGCTAAAGCATCCATGACAGACGGCCATCCAACCTCAGCTTAAAAACCTCCAAGGAAGGAGAGTCTACCATCTTCCGAGGGAGACTGTTCCACTGTCAAACAGCTCTTTCTGTCAGAAACTTTTTCTGTTCGTTTAGTCGGATTCTCCTTTCTTGTAACTTGAAGCCATTGGTTCAAGTCCTACTCTCCAGAGCAGGAGAATACAAGCATGCTCCATCTTCCATGTGATAGCCCCTGAGATATTTGAAGGTGGCTATCACATCTCCTCTTTTCCAGGCTAAACATACCCAGCTCCTTCAAGCACTCCTCATAAGGCTTGGTTTCCAGACCCTTGATCATCTTGGTTGCCCTCCTCTGCGCACATTCCAGCTTGTCAACATCCTTCTTAAATTGTGGTGCCCAGAATTGGACACAGTATTCCAGGTGTGCTCTGACCAAGGCAGAATAGAGCAATACTATTACTTCCCTTGATCTGAACACTATTATTTCAGTTGATGCAGCCTAGAATAGCATTAGCTTTTTTTTGCTGCTGCATCACACTGTTGACTCATGTTAAGCTTGTGGTCCACCAAGACCCCTAGATCCTTTTTACATGTACTGCTAGTAAGCCAGGTGTCCCCCATCTTATATTTGTGCATCTGGGTCTTCCTGCCCAAGTGCAGAACCTTACGTTTGTCCCTATCAAAATTCATGTTGTTAGCTTGGGTCTAGTTCTCCAACCTGTTAAGGTCATTTTGAATTTTGAATCTGTCTTCTGACAGTAATACCCTAGTGCTCATTGGCACACAGGCAGTTCTGATCGGCAAATTCACTGACTTTTGAGTCCAAGAGCCTTTTCCCTTTGATCTTGTAAATAACCCATGTTGCCATTTTTCTGTCTCTTGATAACAGAGGCTCTTGCTGCTATAACCAAAGCTGTGCAAATTGGGTCATGCGGTGGATCAGTGGAATGCTTGTGCCTATGCTAGAAGAGTTTACTTTTAAAAATTGTTCTGCTCTATTTGACTTCAAATACTTTGCCACTTTAGACACATCTTCTTTGGGGAATTGCAAACCATGTCATAAACAGTGAATATCAAGTTCTTGTCAGATACCTGTAACATGCAAGCGAGGTACATTTTGGAGATGGTAACACAAGTTGGAGTATCCAAACCTAATTCTAATAATAGACAGGAGACAGGTAAATCTCCCAAAGTGTGACAAGCCTGTATTTGACTTACCAAGTTTGGATTACATATGCCATTTGCAGAGGATCCAACCAGGGGATTTAGCGAGGGGTGGAAATGGACTAATTTTACAGAGATGGAAAGAGCAAGAGCACGCAACCCTATAATCTGCCACTGGCATGTGCAACTGATAAGTCAAATGTATCACCCAGTGTTTGAAACTCCCATTGTTCTAGGCGCATTTTGGGGGATTTCATTAGCGTGAGCAGTTTTTGAGCTCTGGGCACAGTACTTCGCCCCTAAGATTTCAGAGTAAAACTGCAGAGTGAAAGGAACTACTTCCCTATTTCCAGCTACTCTCTGAAGACTGGAGAAGAGACCCTCTTAAGAAAAATAACAGATTGGCAAATCAAATTACAGGAATTGGTGGAGACGGCTCAACTGACTAGTAAACTCAGAGGAAACTCAAAGCAAAAATTTGCAGAAAAATGGGATGGTTATAGAAGATATGTTCAAAAATACAATAATAGTTTTGACTCCGTGCTAGCATTCGAATGATAAAGGAACTAAAAGGAGGTGGACAACAATTAAGGATTTATTATGTTTTCAGAATGTATTAGAAAAATTATATAGAAATTTTTATTGTTTTGTGTACATTCAAATGTAAGATAAAAAATATGCAAAGGGACTTGACAGGAAGTCAAAGTTGAAGAAAAGATTTTGGAAGATAAAAGGGGGAAAAATATTTACTTTCATTATTATCATTTTCTGTGCAGGTGTGGGTGTGTGGGTGTCTGCACATATGTGTGTTGTTGTATGCAATGTTTGGGAGGAAATATGACGGTAAATAACAAATAACAAACTAAATATCGATGTATGTAATTTTTATTTCTTAATTATATTTAGTGGTAGTATGGCTGTATTGTTTTTTGTAACATAAAACCAGTCAATAAAAATTATTTTTAAAAAAGAATATTAAGGGGGTGGGCAGGGGAAGGACTAGATCATGTGAAATATGAACATAATATTTTAGCTGCAGTTCATTCACTTTCAGCTTTGTATTCTTGTTATAAAAATGTGTGCCTAGATGATACATTACACCAGAGAAAGTGGCTAAAATGTATAAGACGGGATCAAAAACTTGTTGGAGATGTAAAGAAAAAGATGGTACATTTTATCCTATGTGGTGGGAATGCAGAAAGGTCAGAAATTATTGGGAAATGATATATAATGAATTGAAAAAAATGTTTAAAAAGACTTGTGTTAAGAAACCAGAAGCATTCCTCCTAGGGATTTTAGATCAAGAAATAAGAAAAGACAACTGGAAATGATTTATGTATGCAACAACAGCGGCAAGAATTCTACCAGCACAAGCTTGGAAGACAGAAGAAACCCCAACGAAAGAACAATGGCAAGAGAAACTCATGGAATATGCAGAATTAACAAATTAACAGATAAATTACATGAAAGGGACAACAAAGACTTTAAAATAGAATGGGAACCATTTACAATATATATGAAGATACAAGATGAAGAGTTGGACTCACTGGCAGGGTTTGAGTAAACATTCACAAATGTATATAATAAAAAAAGAGATGTAAATGTATTAGGAATTAATTGGGGAAGTAATACGCAGGATGAATAAATTGAATGTAAAACAAAGTGGAAGTATGAGGGAAGTCCAGGGGAGGGGGGCAGGAAAAAATGGAAAATTGTTAGAGATATATTTCATAAAGGATGTATATATCGAAAAACCAATAAAAACTATTTTTAAAAAATGCATGCCTAGACATTTCGTTGTTGAGCCCATAACCTAGGTTTAAGGTGCCATTTAGCTGGTAGCTTTCATATCTCAGTTTCTAACACTGGCATCACCACCACCATTCACTAACAGAATGCTTAGGCTGAAGACAAATGTCATGGAAATCCATATTCTGGGGACATATCGTAGCATTACAGCTTGATTTCTCACTCACCACCATCTAGCTCAAAGACACATTTAATACTGAAGCTCACCTTTAACATTTTAACTGTACAGATGATAAGAATCAGTACTTCTCAAAGATTTATCTAGGTATCACAGAAGTCAAGGGGCTTCAACATGGTGTCCTTCAGATGTTGCAGACCCCCAACTCTGATCCTCCCTCACCATTCTGTCTTGGGCAGATGGGAACTGGAGTCCACAACATCTGATGGGTGCCATGTTGGCTATTCCTAATGCAAGTGATGAAAAATCACCACCATTATACACCCAGAAGAATAAAATTAGGGAAATTATAACCCCACTCAACTCAAAGTAAACCACTCCTACTGATAATCCAGAAAGGATAATCTGTACTGATAAGAGACTCAGTCAACACCAGATCTGATGTAATCCCCATGAAAGTATGTTGTATGCAAGTATTATTCTTATAGAACTAGTGATATGAGGTACTTGTGGTGGATGGGTGATTTCTATGACCAGCTGTTGCCAACAGGAACTAACCACCACTGACGATAAGCCACACAGGCATTCCCAGTCCAGACAAAAGTGGTTACATACATGGTGTTTAAATCCAGGACAGTAGGTCTGGGCAATGTATCGATACATCGTCCAAGATCAGTATGAGGGCCAAACTGCAATGGTTGCTTCACCTGGCAGTATACCATGGGTGAAACAGAAGCTGCTCCTGAGTCCCTCTGTCACCATAAGGTCATATGGAAAAGTCATTGTAAGTGTTGAATTCCACACATGGGAAATAATTCTGCTATGGTTGTGTTCTTCACAACGCTATAACCCAACACCATAAATCCTTCTGGTATTCCCTCCACCCAAACATTTTAATTTTCCACGTAGTTTTGCAATATATTTCTTCTCCCCTCTTTGACTCTTGATTCATGCTATTTTGAATTGGTTTGGTTAGCAAGGCACTTGAGTCTACTCTACATTCCCCAACCTCTTAAAGAAGATTAACCATTTAAACTGCTTTAAATTGATGAGTTTTGCCCCCACTGCTCCAGGCAGTACTATAAGTACTCTGATTCTGCTCTGTTTGTTGGGAGACAATGCAAAGGAGAGAAGCAGAGATTACTTCTTTTTGTTGTTTTGGGGTAACATCCAATTATGTCTACCCACACATGCCATAGAACCTTCAGTTCCTTTTCACACACACCCTCCAGAGCGGATTCAGGGGGTGAAAGAGCAGTTAAAAGGGGGTGGAGAGGAAGGACTCAGAACCTGCTGGATTCCACCATTGGGGCTTATCTGTGTCCAGTGTTGCTTGGGTGTTGGCAATGGCCAGGTTGATTTCTAAGTGGTATTTGCATAGTTTTAGAGAGATCTCAGCTCTTGACAGTAGTAACTATGCTAACACTAGAGAACAGAATTCTAAAATAAGGAAAGAACCAGCAACTGAACCAGGTTTGAAGAGTGTGTGAATATTCGTTTTTTAACCAAACTGTATTTATGGATGGCTTTCACTGATTTTATTCTTAATAATAATACGTTTTAAATATATACCCCCATTCATCTGGCTGGGTTGCCCCCGACACTCTGGGCAGCTTCCAACACATATAAACACACAATAAAACATCAAACATTAATAATAACAATCTGATCCAAGACAAAACGTCACAACAACTTTGAAATAAACAACTTAAATCAAATAAAGCAATATTCAACAATCCATTAGAATCTAATAGTAAACAGTAAAATTAAACATCAGCAAATAATAATTACCGTATTTTTTGCTCTGTAAGACTCACTTTTTCCCTCCTAAAAAGTAAGGGGAAATGTGTGTGCGTCTTATGGAGCGAATGCAGGCTGCGCAGCTATCACAGAAGCCAGAACAGCAAGAGGGATTGCTGCTTTCACTGCGCAGCGATCCCTCTTGCTGTTCTGGCTTCTGAGATTCAGAATTTTTTTTCCCTAGTTTTCCTCCTCCAAAAACTAGGTGCGTCTTGTGGTCTGGTGCGTCTTATAGAGCGAAAAATACAGTACATAGTTTACACTTATCAATTACAATAAAGGATTACTAATCTGTAAACTATAAAAATAATGGCAAGTCTCAAGGCATAAAATACCACAAAACATACAAACCATGTAAAAGGATCAAAATGAGAAACAAGGACACACAACTTACAAAATTACTTTTAAAAATGATATGCTTCATATCATATTCTTATGTGATGCATACCACCATGATATATCTTTATGAAAGTGCTGATTATAAACACAGAAACAAATACACACACAGAGAGAGAGACAATATTGGCAAGAACAGAATGCAGAGCTGAATTCTACATACTCTGCTTACTATCAGCCCTAGAAAAAGCATGTAAAGTTTGCCTACAAATGCAACTGCTCTTATTTATTTTAGAGAGATAAAACCGAAGCACCTCCTATGTACAGTGGTGCCTCGCAAGACGAAATTAATCCGTTCCGCGAGTCTCTTCGTCTTGCGGTTTTTTCGTCTTTGGAAGCACGGCTATTAGCGGCTTAGCGGCTATTAACGGCTTAGCAGCTATTAACGGCTTAGCGGCTTTAAGAAAAAGGAAACAAACTCGCAAGAACTTGCAAGACGTTTCGTCTTGCGAAGCAAGCCCATAGGGAAATTCGTCTTGCAGAACGACTCAAAAAACGCAAAACCCTTTCGTCTAGCGAGTTTTTCGTCTTGCGAGGCATTCGTCTTGCGGGGCACCACTGTAGCTCTTTGCACATGGGCCAGCAGCAGGTTAAGAACTTTTCCAATCACATTTAGTGGTGCCTTTGGATTCTTGGGTTATCACAACAGCCTGCAACCCCTGCTGGTCAAGTGCTCTCACTAAGGCATCTTAGACCACAGGTCAAATTCTTAGGATGTAACTACTTAGTGTAAAGTTACCACAGGCTTCCCTATCTCCTCTGATAAACTATAGGCCAGTATAACCTTACGCTTCAGTGTAACATTATATAAACTACACTCCCATTCCAGGCCAGTATTGCTTGTATTTCTCACACACCGTTAAAATGAAAGATTTCACCGTGCATTTTTTTTCAATTAAAAAAACCTGCTCTGTTGGAGAAGCATCAGATGATGTAGGAAAGCAAGCTGCTAACTGTGTAGAAGGGAAAAACACATGCAGAATTCCTAGGCACAATCACTGCATAGGACTGAACAGTTTCAGATTTTCGAGCAGTAAAGGACATTTCATGAAAGTCCTTTTTTCCACAAAGTGAATAAAAGACAGAACACACTCATAACCAAGCCTAAGAACAACTCCCTTTACATGGTGCCATTGTGAGTGCACATGCACAGAGTTCAGTATTCACCTTTTTGTGTGTGTGGTTCTAAAACATGGGTGCAGTAAGTCATTTTTCTGCTTTCAAAACTACTTTCAAAGTGAGGAAGAATAATCCCTCTAGAACAGAAAGTGTGCTGACTTTTGGAACACATGAGCGCATCATCAAGATGAAAAACTACATAGATACAAGTTAAGAACTTGCAAAAACATGAATTGGCTTGACTAATGGCTCTGGAGAAGCTGCTGGATAGAACAGGTGTTTAGGAATCAATTTTAACACACACATCTGCTAGAGATGCTTGAAGCCTTGTCCCCCAGGACATACTGGGAGAAACTACAATTAGCTCCTTTATCCACTGCAGGCACTGGGGAAGGGATGTGATTCGCTTGACACAATGCACTTAAGATGAGAGCTCGCTTATCAATCGTACCCTCTGATCTGGAAGCCTTTTTCAGTAACAAGGTTGTCAGGTAACTAAGACCACACCAGGTGCACGGAGCTCTTCAGATGTTGCAGACTACAAACCCCATAACCACTGGCCATACTGGCTGTCACTAATTCTAGTTCACAATAACTGAAGGGCACCTTGTTGGCTACCCTTGGACTAGGTCAACAGCGGCCTGGGGTGCTTGAAACCATAGGCAAATATTTTCATATCCCAGAGGGAAAAATTGCCACCTGTTCATGTCTGCAGGCCAAGGTGCTGTTTAGAGGCACAACAGACAGATCTGCAAAGAAGATGGAAACCCCGGGTTGCAGGTATTGTGTGACTATTTCAATCCTTCCGCATATGCAAAGACATTTTCATTTCAGGATCAAAGCACAGAATTAAGACCTTGGAACAGGCAACGGGGGTGAACTTCAAATCCAGCTCTGACATGACGTCTTAAACACAGGCAGCAGTCACAGTGCTTGCTTCCCACCTGCCAGCCTACCCGCCGATTCCGGTCCCGATCATTTGGACTAAGGAGGCTGCTTCCCCTTTCAGTTTTCCGGATTTAGGAACAGAGTGAACAAAGTGAACCACGAAGTCAGCCACATTAGCAGCACTCTGCCATGGAAACAAGCAGCATTGCCATGGAAACTGCCTGTTCCAGTGGCATGCAGTTGGTGGAGGAAAAGGTGGGCAGTGACAGCCTCTCCTTTCTTAAAAAAGGTACAAGAGTGATGAGAGCTAACGTTTGGGGAGGGGAGAGGAAGAAATATACGGGGTCAAAACACCAAATTAGCCCATTTGAAGGTATCCACTGATTTGATGCCTAATGATGGGAGGACAGGAATTTCTTGAGGCGAAACAGATTTCACAGCCCTTTGAATATCTGGCTCCTAAACAAGTGAAATTTCTCTATATGGACAGCTGACTTCCAGCGATATTTTTTGGGGGGGGGGGAGAAAACTGGTAAAGTTACCATAAAGCCTCCCTATGGAAATTTGGGTGGTTTTCACTGGAAATTTTCCTGATACCCTAGGGTGTGATCTAACTCAATGTGTTTAGTTTACTTGAATTTTAGTAAACAAAGCTTGAAAGATTGAAACTGCCAAGCTTGTCTTATATTGCAATTGGCAGGCATTCACAGTTAGCAATGGACTTATGAAATGGGGGAAATTGTTGCTGAAGAAGGAAGCACTTGAAAAATGTTATGCCCCGCAACACCGCCAACTTCACCTCAGGATATATGCAACTGTACCCCACCCCTCAGTCTTAAAACTTTGTAAACAAAACAAAGAACGACCAGCAGTTAAAGGCCCTTTGCAAAGAAGTATTTTATTCAAGACTATTAACAACAACAACAACATTTTATTTGTATCCTGCCCATCTGACTGGGTGGCTTCCAACATATATAAAAACATAACAAAACATTACACATTAAAAGGCTTCCCTATACAGGACTGCCTTCAGATGTCTTCTAATGGTTTTATACTTACTCATCTCCTTGACATCTGATGGGAGGGCGTTCCACAGGGTGGGCACCACTACCAAAAAGGCCCTCTGCCTAATTCCCTGTAACTTTGCTTCTCACAAGTGAGGCAACTGCCAGAAGGCCCTCGGAGCTGGACCAACACTTTAAATTGTGCTCTCTGGGTTATTATTTATTTAAAATGCAGAGGTGCATTTTAAATAAAAGGACACATTCTACTCATGTAAAAGCACGCTGATTCCCGGACCGTCCGCGGGCCGGACTGAGAAGGCGATTGGGCTGCATCCGGCCCCCGGGCCTTAGGTTGTCTACCCCTAGTTTTAAGTACCAGAAATACAAAACAGTTGCACAAGCACAGCTTATAGACCTGACATGTATGTGCACATACACCCCTTGCTTCACCTCCAAAGAAATCCAAATCCATGTTTTGATCTTGTGCAAATAATATTGTAAAGTGGGGACAGAAGCCTCACTAGGAGTATGGAATGTCAGTACGGAATGACTTGTGTAGTAGGGCTATGCAATAAATTGCTATAGCGTCCAATACTAGTATTGAAATGACATCGTGGGCAAGTGCTTGAACCAGGCAATATACCGTGAGGGAAATGTGAGCAAAAGGTGGGGACTGACAGCTTCTCAGGGGGGCAGCACTTTTCTTGGCAAGAAGGCACCTCACGCTGAGGGTGGGCAGCCATTTTCCCAATGAGCCCTTGCCTGCAAGCACACAAACCAACTATTTAAGCGTAACTTCCTGCTCTCACCCCCAAAACTTCCAGAGTTCATCTAATGACACGGATCCTGCTAACAATCCTGGAGCAAAGACACGTGTGCACACACGCCCATGGCTAGACAATCAAAGAACCAGCGGCAGAAACGCAAAGCTGAACTGAACTTTAAGCAGCCAGCAGAGCCCAGACACGGCAGCTCCCAGCCCAGGGAGGGACACGCCAGCCAATTGGTACAGCAAGATCTGGAAAGCAGAGCCCTCGGCAGCTGATTTCCCAAACAGATACTTTTCTTGGCAGGAAGGCCCCTCCGTCTCCCGGCTTGCTCCTGGTATGTTGCTGCCTTTGCCTTCTTTTGCATGTGTGTGTGTGTTTGTGCCTCTGTGTTGGTGGTGCCTTTGCTTCAGAGAAAACACGCAAAAAAACCAAAACCTTGCTGTGTTGTTTAAATCTCTGTACCTCCAACCCTATACAGTGGTACCTCAGGTTAAGTACTTAATTCGTTCCAGAGGTCCGTTCTTAAGCTGAAACTGTTCTTAACCTGAAGCACCACTTTAGCTAATGGGGCTTCCCGGTGCTGCTGCGCTGCCGCCACACAATTTCTGTTCTCATCCTGAAGCAAAGTTCTTACCCTGAAGCACTATTTCTGGGTTAGCGCAGTCTGTAACCTGAAGCGTATGTAACCTGAAGCGTATGTAACCCGAGGTACCACTGTATTTCCTTATATGCTTCATCTTCTTCTTATTTCCTTATACAGTGGACGCTTGGGTTGTGAACGTGATCCGTGCAGGAGGCACGTTTGCAACCTGCAGCGCCATGTCTGCGCATGCACAGGTTGCCATTCAGCGCTTCTGCGCAAAGCGCAATTTAGTAGTTCTGCGAATGCGTGAGCGCCAAAACCCGGAAGTAATCCATTCTGGTACTTCCAGGTTCGGTGTGGTGTGCAACCCGAAAACACGCAACCTGAAGCGTCTGTGACCCGAGGTATCACTGTATGCTTCGTCATTTCCACCACCACGGTTGGCCTGCAAAGGAACTCAGCCGCCGCCATCGTGAGGAGGCCCAGCAGGGTCCAGCCCCTCAACACTGGGGGGATTCAGCCCCATCATTCCTGCATACTTTGGGGCCCCATAGAGTTGGTGTGTATGAGTTGAAGCATGCTATCAGACATAGTGATACATAAAAGTATTATGATTTAGTTGGTGATATATCGCAATGTTGAAAACCAGTTATCGTCCAGCCCTATTATGTAGGCTGGGCTACAAATCCTGGCTGCAAGATAAAATTCCCACTGTAAACCCTTGAGTAGAAATGCAAGAGCATGCAGCAGTGAAACACTATTTATTTCATATAAGCATGCTGGAGATAGAAGCTAATCATCAATGCATTTACTCCATTCAGAAAAATTGTAACGCTTCTACAAACATTATGTGTTCTCTCTCTCTCTCTCTTTCTTTCTCACGTAAAGTCACTCTCCCAACAAATATTCCTAAAGAGCCCAACCTCATGCTTGAAGGACTTATTTATTGTTACAAAGTACTGAAGTCAACTTCTACCTGTATCTAATTCAGCATTAATTGCACCCAAAGCTGAAGTCTAGAAGTGGCTTAGTAGACACAGAATGCCCTTTCAATTCCCTGCCATGAGTGCCTTGGAAATCTCACTTCCATCAGCAAATTCAACAAAAATACAAATGATGTCCTACAGCCCATTCTGATGGCATGTGGCTCCCAAATTTTACCTGGGGAGGGAATTGTGAGGACGCCCCAGCACGTCCCTGCTTCATTCATCCTCCAACCGCCCTGTATCAGGAAAAGACCAGACCAAGAAGATCCTGTGTTTAAACTGAACATGAGATTTCACTGACTTAGTGATCTCCGGTTTGATCATTCACTGCTTCCTGCAGTGAGGTGGTGAGGGGGAAAGGCAAGGTGGAGAGAGCAAGGGAGGAGGCCAGCCAAAGAATCCAGCATGCAAAGTATTGTCTTCACCAGTGCTTAGAAAAAGAGATGCTATGGTCTGGACCCAGAGAGAGAGAAACAATGATCTTCCATTTTATCGATGGTCATAAGCTTTTCTGCCTCCAGCCGCATTTTATGTTCCTTTAAAGTTTCCAGGCATGGCCAAACTTGGCCCTCCAGAAGTTTTTTTCAGACTACAACTCCCATCATCCCTAGCTAACAGGCTAGTGGTCAGGAATGATGGGAATTGTAGTCCCAAAGCATCTAGAGGGCCAAGTTTGGCCATGCCTGCTTTAAACACTATATGAATTAATTAAGAAAACAACCATGTCTCATTAACAAAGGTAGATACCAGAGTTAGGGGACTGCTGGTTCCATGGCAATTTTAAATTTGCTGCTTTAAGCCTTATATAACATGCCTGTGTGAATCTTTCTGGGCTAAGTCTAGAAACTGCCTTGAGGGGACTAATCACTATCTGTGTTTTGCCCATTGTGAGCTCTCTTCCAAAGCATTACAAAATACAGTGGTGCCTCGCAACACGAAATTAATTCGTTCCGTGAGTTTTTTCGTCTAGCGAATTTTTCGTCTTGCGAAGCACGAAATCCCATAGGAATGCATTGAAATTCAATTAATGCGTTCCTATGGTCAAAAAAAGTTCAAACAAAGCCAAATTTGGTACAACAAGAGTTTATTAAGTGCTCTTTAAAGTCACACATACTGTAAAGAGCATTTCAAAAATTGAAGGAACAATAAATTAAGTTTCTAAACATGACAGAAAAACATTTAAAAATCAACAAAGTGTACAGTACATTTTCTAAGACTCTGGGGACAACTCGAAGAAGGTTCCTCTTCCACTCTTTGCTTCTTGCTGAAGAACCCCTCCTCAACTGTTCCCCCAGCCACTCACCACACAGAAATTCAAATCCAGATTTTTTAAAAAACAGCAGAGTGGCCCAATGGTCACAGAAAATCATAAAAATGCAGAAAAAAACCACACAAGCTTCCAGATTCTTGCAAACCCCTCCCCAACACCAAGTCCTTGAATTCCAAACACCCCAACCCAAAATCCAACCCCCCCCAAAAAGTTTTAAAAGTTTAAAAGAAGTTTTGGAAAAGCTTCAAAAATCACCAAAGTCTTCAAAAACCTCAAAAAAGGCTCCCACACCGCGTTCTCTGAGTTGCTCCTCGAAGTCAAGTCGCAACTGTATTAACGGTGTTAAGAAAAGGAAACAAACTTGCAAGATGTTTTCGTTTTTCGTCTTGCGAAGCAAGCCCATAGGGAAATTCGTCTTGCGAAGCAGCTCAAAAAACGGAAAACCCTTTCGTCTAGCGAGTTTTTCGTCTTGCGAGGTATTCGTCTTGCGGGGCACCACTGTAGCATCCTATTTCTTCCTACTATGTAGTACAGTGGTACCTCCGGTTGCGAATGGGATCCGTTCTGGAGCTCCGGTCATATCCTGAGGAATTTGCAACCGGAGGTGCCGCGTCTGCACATGCGCGGTTTAGCACTTCTGCACATGTGCGTGGTGCGTAGAGTGTTTCTGTGCATGCGCGTGCAGCGAAACCCAGAAAATACTTCCAGGTTTGCAGCGGACGTATCCTGAAGGATACGAAAGTAGAGGTACCACTACAGTACACAGACACACACACACGTGGGAGAGAAGCAGCAGAAGTGATTGACTGTTGTGTCTGAAAATGCAGGGATAATATTAAAGCTGTCCATTTCACCCATCTGGTAGAGAGAATGCCCACTGCCTCTGGTATCACATCCAATGCAAAAACGGCTTCCAAAATGAACACATCAAAACCCCATCAAGATTGCACTAGATCCTGATTTAAAGTATGTATTGCTATTGAGCATTGTGCTTCCTTTTGCTGGAAGGTGAACTGTAATGACTGTGCCCTGAAATGCAAAATATCTGCTAACTGTAGATGCATATTGGAAGGAAAGCCATGAAAAAGCACCCATTTAAAATTTCAGGTGAGGCCAGCAGAGCTTCACATTTCACCTCACAAGCCTAGCAATTATTCACATAGAAGATTTCTGAAAATGCAGTCTTAGTTTTCCCTATCTGATTAGTACATTGATCCCAAAAAGTTGCATACAAAATGTTGCCTGTTCATGATATGGTGGATGAGATAACGAAATACAATTGAAATGTTCTAACTTCTCAATTTTATGGCTCACCTCCTGCCTTCTGGTTCTGAAAATCACATCTCTTAAGATGTGTCAGAACAAATCAGAGTTATCTGCATAGAAGGTTCCTCAACAATGTAACTGGAAATAAGATAAGCTTTCCAAGAACTAAGCATGATGAATCAGATCAGTGCAAGACAACTCTTCTCCATTTGCAAGATATCATATCACCCATTGTGCCATTTAAAATAACTTTGCTAAATCTGAGTTGCTAAATAATGTGGTTCTGATGTCTAGCCGTTCAAGTTTAGCAAAGTTAGCTATTAATTCTTTGATTTCAAGATATACAGGGGATACCTAGGCTTCAAAAGTACAAAACAGAGAAAAGTACTAAATGTATTGCTTAACCTTTGTAGCCTGGTGCGGCCAACACCCAACAAAGATTTCAGGGCAAATGTAAGAATATACAAATGAGCTCACCAAGTATCTACTTTGATTTTCTTGACTGTCAAAAACAGGGACATAACCTTAGATTTCAAGGTCAGAAGATGATGTTTAGTTGCTCTCCTTTTAGATTGTCAACAGACTGCTGTTATGAACATTCTGCAAGCTATCAATCCCATTCCTTTTCCTACAGTGGGAACATGGGAGGAATACAAGGTTAAGAGAACTTGTATTCCCAACAGGGGGCAAAGTATCAGCTCCATACATTCCAAGTACTCGAAGATGAACTGTTTTTATCCTTATAAAATTCATCATATGAAAAAAAAAAGGATTGGATAGACAAATGCATTCATTTTCAAACCTAGAATCAAAAGCCATAAAGGAATGACTGGGGGCCTGATCCACTGAATACCACACATCTCAGAATTTTCCTCAATACATGTGATAAGAAACCAGGTAAAATGCCTGCAATGTTTTAGATTTTTAAATACATACTGAGATGGCAATGGTTCGGGCTGATTGCATGATTTCATTAAATATCAGGTCCATAGCCAGAAGACAAGGGATAAGAAAAAACAAACACACACATGTCCCAGCCTCCCACCCACTCTGGCATTTGAGCATTAGTGTAGTCATAGCATTTATGTGCTTTGCTTCAACTTGAGATTCACGTTTGTGTGTGTGTGCGCGCACACGCGCGCGCACACACACACACACACACACCCACCCACCCCACTCCTGTATATGTTTCAACTTGAATTTTTCATAACCTAGATCAGCTCCAGGGCATAACTTTTTACTCACAGCCTATATAAACAGGCAGAAGATTCCTTACCAAGTGTTAAAATACAAGCACAGAACCTTCCCCCCTCCCATCTTAACAGTTCTAAAATTACACTGTTAAAACATGTTTGTGGAAAATATAGGCTGAAAGCAGGAGTTAACTATACAGTGTTCGCCTTGTCTCTAGGTGGTCATTCCCCTGAATGCCTTTAAAGAAACAGAGAGAATGAGAGGGGGCAAGGAAGAAGAAAGAAGCTGCTCTGATTTAACTGCCCTTCTTGGAGGAGACCATTTTGACTTGCTTTATGCTCTGTGTCACGTCTCTGCGCCAATCCAATTTCTCAAGATCCTGAGAGAGGCGAGTAAAGGTGGTCATCCATGATGGGACCAAGTCTGAATCTAAGTCAGGTGTGTCAACTTTGCTTCGGGGGCCTAATCCACCCCACAACTGGTTTTATCCGGCCCCTGTGGCAGTTTATTTATTGGGGTCAAACCCTTAAAAAAGCTTAAGAACTTTGGGGTAAAACCGTAAAGAAAGCTCAACAACTTCAATCCTAAAAAAATCGTTAAAAAGAGCTCAACAACTTTGGCTGACCCTCACGCATGTTCACTTCACCAAATCTGGCCCTCTTTGAAAAAAAGTTTGGGCACCCTGATCTAAGTCATAGAGGAATTAAAATAATGTGCAACTTATGCTCCACTTCAGAGTTATACAAAGAAGTACTTAAAGACAACAGTAAATGTCATCATCCCAATCCTACCAGCATTTAGGAACCCATTTCACGAATGAACATTCCCCAATCACATAGTTTGCTTTTGGGGTGAAACAAGGGATCACTAATGTGCAAGTAAAAGGACACACCACATAAACTCCTATGTCCCAGTGCAAGAAACACCTCCAAAAAGGTGAGATTATGCTCTAATGGAAGCAGAGAAGCAACTTTACTGCAGTTTTTTCTGTGTACCATAAACACTTCATTCACAAACCAAGAACTTGCGCAGCTTCTGCCACAATTCATATGCTGCTTCTCCATGTAGTTGGTCCAAATATATGCAAAGCCAACCTCTACAACTTCCATTAACCAGCTGGAGGACACACACCAAAAAAATTAAGAATGGGTAGCATTTGACCAAAGAAGGAAGAAAACTTTAACTCTATATTCAATTTTATTTACCTTTATATTTTCAGTACTTAACTTAAAAAAGAAGATTGAAAATATTCCAAAATTTCCTGGTTCTACAAAGGTCTGAGTGCCTAAATACCCAAGATGATGGGATATTTGCAGCTCTCTCGTCTAGTATAAAGAGGCTTGCACTGAATTAACAGGGAATAAAAATTACTAAGTGGGAACAGAGGTATTCAGTTTCTTAAATATTCTCAAATTCCAGAATATTCTAAATTGTTGCATATAATGCCAGCAGGGTTAGAGACAAGTTGTACAATGTTGCATATTTTGCAAATCTAATTTGCATTCAAAGATCTGCTGCATATGTATTCAGCATCTCTCAAGCCCTCTTGTTGCACAATAAATTCATTCGCTCAATTATTACTAATCCCAACAGCTAGATTACTATTCCTTATTCCTCAGATACCAGAATCACAACTGAAATAAGTAGTTAGAATTGCTCCAGCTCACAGAATCATAGAACTATAGAGTTGGAAGGGACACCAAAGATCATCTAGTCCAACCTTCCGCAATGCAGGAATTTCAGCTAAAGCATCCATGACAGATGGCCATCAAATCTCTGCTTCAAAACCTCCAAGAAAGGAGAGTCCACAACCTCCTGAGGGAGACTGTTCCACTGTTGAACAGCTCTTACTGTCAGAAAGCTTTTCCGTATGTTTAGTTGGAATCTCCTTTCTTGGTGCTTGAAGCCATTGGTTTGAATCCTACCCTCCAGAGCAGGAGAAAACAAGCTTCTTCCCTCTGAAGCAGAAGAGGGTAACTGCTAGCCAATGACCAGACGTGGCCCACAGCACCATCCCTCCTTGTCCCTTTCCATGTGGCGACCATGTTTAATGAGAAAGAACAAGCTTTCTATTGACGCCAATAACTGTTTTGACCATGGGTAGGCAAACTAAGGCCCAGGGCAAACTAAGGTCCTTCTCAATCCGGACCGCGGACAGTCCGGGAATCAGCGTGCTTTTACGTGAGTAGAATGTGTGCTTTTATTTAAAATGCACCTCTGGGTTGTTTGTGGGGCATAGGAATTCATTCACCCCCCCAAAAAAAATATATAGTCCAGCCCCTCACAAGGTCTGAGGGACAGTGGACCGGCCCCCTGCTGAAAAAGCTTGCTGACCCCTGGTTTTGACTAATTGCTAAAGGCATGTGGGTGGGTGGGTGAATTGGTCGGGTTATATGACCACCCTGCCAAATATATCCCCTGTGGAGCAATTAAGCATTTGAAAACAGAGAACCAAAAATAAAAAACCACCATTCCCATTGGCTCAACTGGGAGGCTACCTTCCAACTCTTAAGTGGTGCACAGGAAGGGGTGGAGAGAAACCCACACCTGGAGAGGGAAGGATTAGGCCAATCAGAAGGTCTGCGGTTCGAATCCCCGCAACAGGGTGAGCTCCCGTTGCTCAGTCCCAGCTCCTGCCAACCTAGCAGTTCGAAAGCACATCAAAGTGCAAGTAGATAAATAGGTACCGCTCCGGCAGGAAGGTAAACGGCGTTTCCATGTGCTGCTCTGGTTTGCCAGAAGTGGCTTAGTCATGCTGGCTACATGACCCGGAAGCTGTACGCCGGCTCCCTCGGCCAATAAAGTGAGATGAGTGTCGCAACCCCAGAGTCGGCCACAACTGGACCTAATGGTCAGGGGTCCCTTTACCTTACCTGTGATCTCTGTCATTCCTCATTGCAGGAATGCTTTTTTCCAGGTCAAGTTGCCTGGTGTCAAGGTGTGACTATACACGTGCACACATATGTACCGCGGACTGCAGCGCTGCAATAACACCGTTAACTAGATAAAAGTTATGTCTCTCTGGCCTGCAAGTTCCTTACTATGCAACTTCAAAAAGCCCTTACATACAGAAGTTAAAACATTTCAACTTTGAAGGCAAGTATACTGCTAAAATCACCCGTTCAAACCCTCTTCTTGCCCAGTGCCCACTATTTAAACTAAAAGGAGCTTAATTTTTGTTGTTTTGGATGCAAGGCACTGGAACTCATGCTTATATTTCCCAGGACAGCCTTTCCTGCCTTAAAAGTGCAGGCTGATGTCGCGACAGGAGAGCACAACAGGGGTCCCTCCACACAGCCAGTGCTCCCTGAGGATAAATACAGTTGGGTAATTACTGTTACTACAAAGCCATTGATAATATTTCATAGGAAGGGGCTGCCTGGGAGAGAGAGATAGAACTAACATCACACAGAGCAATCTTTGGGAGTCCTCTGAAGCAAAGCAATGTTATATTCAGATTTGTTGCGCTTGTTCTCACTGCTATCCACGGACGCTTGGTTCCAGAGCTCAAAGAACAAAAGCAGTGCATGAAATGTTCTCTTGCTCAGGAAAAATACTAACAACAACGGTCATTGAGAAGCAACCGCAGCATCTTTCAAGATGAAACGGTAAAATCGGCTATGATTAAATGGGCACAGGACGTAGGACACAACATTATGTTTGCTGACTGGGAACAGTTATGGACCACTGGTATGAAATTTATGGCATGTAATGCCTTAAGAGAGAATATTATGAAAATGATATACAGGTGGTACATAACCCCAGTCAAGCCTGCAAAAATCTATCATTTGCCCGATAACAAATGTTGGAAATGTAAAGAAACGAAGGTACATTTTTCACCTTTGGTGGACGTGCCCAAAGATTAAGGCTTTCTGGGAAATGATATATAATGAATTAAAAAGGTATTTAAGTATACCTTCCCCAAGAAACCAGAGGCCTTTCTCCTGGGCATAGTGGGCCAAATGGTGTTAAAAAAGGACAGAACTTTCTTTATGTATGCAACAACAGCAGCAAGAATACTCATCGCAAAGTATTGGAAGACACAAGAACTTCCCACGCTGGAGGAATGGCAGATGAAACTTATGGACTATATGGAATTGGCGGAAATGACTGGTAGAATCCGTGACCAGGGAGAAGAGTCGATGGAGGAAGATTGGAAGAAATTCAAAGACTATCTTCAGAAACACTGCAAAATTAAGGAATGTTAAAGTGATGTTGGATTGAAAATAAGTGGTTTCCAGCTGTACAGGTTAAAGCTAAGGATAGATTAAGATTAAAGATTAAGATTAAAGATGTTTAAAGAAATGGAAATTTGATAATAAAAGGGAAAAATTTAAAGGTATATGACATTAAGAACAAGGATTATGTTTAAAAAGCTGAAGCTATATAGTTTAATATTTCATTAAATTAAAGATTGGGTTTAAAAAAGTGGAAAAGAAACTGCTGGACAAATAATGTAGATTGGAATACAAAAGAGGGAGGTATGAGGAAGTCCAGAAAATAAGTAATTCAAAATTGGGAATGTAAAAGAGAGTTTGTTTAAAATTGTTATGTTGTGTGTTTTTATTGTTAAATTTTGTATTGTTTTTTTTTGTGTGTGTGTTGTTTTTTTTTTCTTTGTTTAAAACTTTAATAAAAATTATTCAAAAAAAAAAAAAAAAAGAGAAGCAACCGCAGCAGCCTATGTCCTCCCACCCACGCAGCAGCAAAAATCACGTATTAAAGGCACATTAACGTTCGGTTTTTAAAGTTGTTAAAAGAACTGATAGAACAGCTGTGCTGGCTGGGAGTTGTAGTTCAGAACATCTGGAGGGCAACAGGCTGGGCAAGGCCACCGCAATAATTAATCAAGCGGGCAACAGGATTTTATTTATGGAACAAAATTGATGTACTGCTTAACTGTAATAAAATCTCTAAGAGGTTTCCAATAAATACTAGAACTATAATATTTTTTTTTAAAAAAAAAGTAAAATTAACAGCAAGAGAGATTGAAATGCAAGTGGGATATTCTTCCCTCAGCCCCCATCAGCAATTTTGGAATAAGAGTGGCCTAGGCTGTTTTTAAAGATCACTGAGATAGCACATGACACAGGCTAAACACGTTAAAGTCCTCCATATACTATTATTGGTTACTTTAAAAATATATATCAAAAGGGCATATCCAGACACAGGTCTGTTTCTTACCCGGTGTTCGAAATTAGCCAGTGCCAGACACATTTTGCACCTGGCTTTCAACCACTTGCGACAAAGTGAAGATGCCTGGGAGCCAAGATGGCGGATGACATCTCCACCACGGAGGTGCATGCCTGGGGATAATTGAATCTGGACTGCTTTCGCAAGCTAATGCCACATCCTTTTTTATTATTATTATAAGATATTTATTAAAATTTTCAATGTTTTACAAAACACACAAAGAAAAAGAAAAAAAAGAATAAAAAAGAAAATACATAGTAAAAATATAAAAACAATTCTTTCCTTCCATTACTTAACCTTCATTTACTTATTTCCAGGACCTCCTCACACCTTCCTTTTTTGTATTCCAGTTCAATTATTTTGTTCAGCAAATCCCTCCCCTCTTTTAATATCCTAATCATTAATCATAAAAATGTTGTAATTTTAGATTTTTACCTATTACATAATAAACCCTTTTTTCATCTTCCCTTGTAACCTTTCAGCTAGAGACCACTTAGTTTCTATCCAGCATCATTCTAACATTCATTAATTTTACAATATTTCTGTAAATAATCTTTAAACTTTTTCCAATCTTCCTCCATCGACTCTTCTCCCTGGTCTCGGATTCTGCCAGTCATTTCCGCCAGTTCCATATAGTCCATCACCTTCATCTGCCATTCTTCCAAGGTGGGTAGATCTTGTGTCTTCCAATACTTTGCAATAAGAATTCTTGCTGCTGTTGTAGCATACATAAAAAAAGTTCTGTCCTCTTTAGCACCAATTGGCCGACTATGCCCAAGAGAAGGGCCTCTGGTTTCTTCAAGAAGGTATATTTAAATACCTTTTTCAATTCATTATATATCATTTCCCAGAAAGCCTTAATCTTTGGGCACGTCCAACAAAGGTGGAAAAAAGTACCTTCACTAATGCCACATCCTGTTAGAATTCTATCCGTTATATTTTATCTGCACAAGCAGAATGAATTCTGGAACCAAAATGCTTTTTCTGTGCAGCCTGAGCAGGAACAGTCACCATTAAGAAAAAGAAGTCGGAGTAGGCCAATATATACGTGGACTGTCCCTGGATCATGGGACTTTTCTTCTTTATGTTTTCAAAGCTCTTAACCTTGCTCAAGGTAGTCATCTGAAGTAGCCAGATGTTTAACTGAGAACCAATCACGGTCAGGCCATCATTTGGAAAATAAGACTTTAGAGCTGTCTTGCCCAAAAGTGGCAACTGTAAAATAGTGTAAAATGCCCAAAAATGGTGACTGTAACCTTGGCTTAAGAAGCCATTTTGCACCTGGCTTATATACCTGAGATTCTAACACTGTTTTTACCCCAGCTTTTCCACAGAATGTGCCATTACTAACACAAGTACCGAAATATCACGAAGCAATTCCTGTCATCGGACCAGGAGAACAGGCAAACTGGCTTTGCTTACTCATAGGAATCTGCCTTATACAGAATTAGACCACCAGGTCCACCTTCTCAAAGCGGCCGCAGCTCTCCCAAGGTTTCAGAAAGGGGTATATCACCATCCCACTTGGAGCTGTCAGGAATTAAAACTGGGGCCTTCTGCAAGCATTGCATGTGCTGTGCCCCAGATACGGTCCTTCCCATCATTGCAGGCTCATCAGGCAGCCAACACTGACCCCTTCTCTTGAGGTCGTGTTTCTCCCTCGCACTGGGCTTTCTGTGGGACTTGTGAGCAGCAGCATAGTGGAGGAAAAAGGGACACACTCTGCCAGTGCACAGGAGGAAAATGACTGCATGGAACCTGGAATCAAGACACTTCATCTTTCTATAAACTGACGTGAGAAGGAGGAAGAGAAAAGAGGAATGTGTATTCATTCAGCTGGCTCCCAATTTGCAAACCATGGTTTGTTGGGAGTCAGTGTTATGCCCACATTAGGCCAGTATCATAGAGATGCAAACTTCTGCTTCCAATGTCACAAGCTTGAAACAAATGTCTAAGAGTGAGCTGGCAATAAAACACTGCTCAAAGTTGGAATTAACTCTTTATCAGCAAAAATATGATCTCCACAAACTTGGTTGAGTGTCAGGCCTAATGACACTTCTTGGTAGTCTTATTCCCTGAAAATCAGTTGTCGAGACTGAAAGTCCCTGTCGCCTCACAGCCTTCTATGTCCCTTCTCCTCCAGGGCTTTCCCTGGAAGGGGCTTTTTTCCATTGCAAGTCTAGGTTTCTAAAGCTAGAAATGATTACATACATAGGAAACATTCATCTACAAGCAGCATTCTACGGCAGGCACATGGAGTTTTCACCCAGCCTTAGACAAACAACAAAACAAAACCATATTGTCCCATACAGAGGCATACATTTATTTCATTCCACTTTTACCCATGTTCTTCCAAGGAGCTCAGGGACACTTACGTTTGATTCCCATCCAGGCAATTTCAGACTCAAACCAGCTCAGCTCCAGCCTTCAGCCTATTCTTAGGAGACAGCTTCCTGGCCTCCCATGCTTCTTTCCTATTCCACCGGAAATTCCCTTGAGCAAGAACCTTCTTAACCACAAAACAGAAGCTGACACCAGGCAGTTTTACAACCTATAAAACAGGACTCTAAAGCAGGTAAGGATGACAGGGATGTTGCAATGGGTCCAGTGGAGGCAGATCTGACACAGCCGCTTGCCTGCTCTGCCCTCAGTGGACGGATCTGCAGCAAATCCAACACTGCTACTAGGTGGGCAGCTAGCAAGGAAAATAAGCACTTTTATTATTCTTAATCATCAGTTATATCCTTAATGTACTCACATGAGCTCTTGCTTATGCCTTAAATGGCAATTTATAGAAATGTTCCCACGATGCCACCACTCCCACCCACACTTAAGGTTTAAATCAGACTTCCTCGACCTCAGCCCTCCAGATGTTTTGAGACTACAGTTCCCAGCATCCCTGACTGCTGGTCCTGCTAGCTAGGGATCATGGGAGTTGTAGGCCAAAAACATCTGGAGGGCCGAGGTTGAGGAAGCCTGGTTTCAATCTTTTGGATTTCACAGACAGGAAACTTTGGGGTATTTATCCATTCAGCATTAGAGTACCACAAACAGGTTGATTTTATTTTCTAAGGCCGAAATCCTTAGGTCGCCTACTCCAAAGAAGTGCCACTGACCTCAATGCAGCAGTGGGAAACCTTAATTAGGGGCTACATAGGGAAGCCAATTTGTCCCATGAAGCTACTATCCAATTGGGAGCTCTGGGATGTAGCTGATCCAAGCAGGGCTTTAAGTCACCACTGCTCAGTTGATTAGTGGTGACTTCAAGCTTCCCCTTGGATCGGCTGGGTCTTCCTCTGCAGTGTGTCTTGAACTCAAATCACACTGCAAAGAAAAAATGGGTGACCTGGTGCCATGCAAGGGATGGCAGGGATGGCTCCTCACCTGACAAAGTGACCTGAGTGGAGGGCAGGAAACAAAGGAGATGAAAAGGTTCCCTGCTCCCGCTTAGTGGAATAACCCTGGAGCAAGCTGTTGAATTGCAGTCTGACACCTGATCTTACAATGGAAGGGGTGGAAAGGTACCTCCAAACAAAATTAGCGAAACTGTGAAGGTCAGCTTACAAATGACCAGCTTCACTTAAAAGCATGATTTACACTAGACCAAAGGATGTCTAACCCTGCAGGACAAGGGGAGGAGAATCCAACTTCCAAGGAAAAATATCCTTTAATTCCAGAATTTTCATAGAATTGTAGAATAGGAAGGGACTCTGAGGATCATCTCAGTCCAACTTCCTGCAATGTAGAAATATGCAGCTGTCCCACATGGAAATCGAACCTGCAACCGTTGCATTATCAGCACCACACTCTAACCAACTGAGCTATCCAGATGTTCTATATACATTTCTCTTGCTGTGGTCTAAACCACTGAGCCTCTTGGGCTTGCCGATCAGAAGGTCGGCAGTTCGAATCCCCGTGACGGGGTGAGCTCCTGTTGCTCAGTCCCTGCTCCTGCCAACCTAGCAGTTCGAAAGCACGTCAAAGTGCAAGTAGATAAATAGGTACCGCTCCGGTGGGAAGGTAAACGGCATTTCCGTGCGCTGCTCTGGTTCGCCAGAAGCGGCTTAGTCATGCTGGCCACATGACCCGGAAGCTGTACGCCGGCTCCCTCGGCCAGTAAAGCGAGATGAGCGCCGCAACCCCAGAGTCGTCCGCAACTGGACTTAACGGTCAGGGGTCCCTTTTTACCTCTTGCTTCAGAATACATCTTCTTTCAAACTTTATACCTTAGGCCCCTTCCATACATTTGTCTGCAAAGGAAGTTCTGGATATTGCAGAAGATTCTAAATGCAACCTAGAATACACATGCAATCCTCATTCTTTAACGTTAACCAAACCACTCTTCCAAGTAATCATAGAATCGTAGAGTTGGAAGAGACCCAAGGGTCATCTAGTCCAACCCTCTGCAATGCAGAAATCTCAGCTACAACATCCATGACAGATGGCCTTCCAACCTCTACTTAAAAACCTCCAAGGAAGGATAGTCCACAATCTCCCAAGGGAGTCCGTTCCACTGTCAAACAGCTCTTACTGTTAGAAACTTTTTTCGCAACTTGTCAGATCATCTTCTTGAAGATCCCAACCCCACAAAAAGCCTTCAAGGAACTCCAACTTCCCTTGAAATCTTTTCAGAGAAACCTCTCAGTGGAAGAAGAAAAATAGTTCCTTCTTTCCTGGAAGTCTTATGAGTACTTTCAGAACATTAAAAGATCAAACCAGGCAGAATGAGGCAAAATTGAATGAGGCAGAAGTTTAAAATATGCAGTTCACCAATATCTTCTTCAGAATGCATCAACAGTGACGGTGTGTTTAGAAATTTTTATTGCTATTGTTGCTTAGACAGGCTGCAATCCTATTTGTAAAATAACCACTTCTATGTAGATATGCATTTCGTTAATGCTTCTGTGTGTGGTAGTCTTAAGAATATGGATTTTGGGAGTTGTTCTTTGACAATGTATTTCCACAACTGTAAACCTTGGAAATATTAGTGTTATAGTGTTACGCTTTAGCAATGCTTTAGCAATCGTACTTTTTACAATGTTAGCATACCAGGCTAGCTGGTTGTAAAACCATCTTACCACGCTTTGAGGATACAAGCAGTATATCACACCCGAAGAATTTATATGCCGGCACAAAATATCTTTATATCAGATCATATCCGTAAGGTTTTAGGTAGTGTCTCCATTGATAATACTTACAGTGATCAGTTACTTTTAAAGATTGTTTCTAATAGGAAATGAAACTAAAGCTTAACAGTAATCAGTTAATTGAACATTTACAAGAAAGTACATTAAAATCATTGGAGAACTTCAGCCCCACCCCCAACCAGCTGCTATTTAAATGGTGTATTGCTAACAGAAAGCTGCATGTAAAAAGACTTAATACTTCCATTCCCATTCAACCTTGGTTAACATAATGCACCGAAGGGAAATGTCTTGCACACTTAACTGTCGATTAATGTACTGGGATACAGGAAGTTACCTAGGTTAGTATTCAAGTGCATGGAATCCCGTAACAAATGTAAATATTCATGCAAATGGCCTAGAATCTCTGCCATCAATAATGGTATTAGCTAAATCAAAGGGGGGGGGGAGAAAGACATAGTCTTTAACGGCCAATACATTTCTCCCTGTTGTGCAAAGTCAAGATGTCTGAACAAGGCGGTATGTGCTGAAAAGACACCATTCAGTTTCTGAAGAACAAGAAGCAGTCATCACAGGGATGTCCCTGATAAACAGATTAGAGCTCAAGCAGACAATATGCACCACCCCCCCCCCCGCATTTACAAAACTAGCTCTTCATCCTCATGCATCCAAATATAAAGGTAAAGGGACCCCTGACCATTAGGTCCAGTCGTGACCGACTCTGGGGTTGCGGCGCTCATCTCGCTTTATTGGCCGAGGGAGCCAGCGTACAGCTTCCGGGTCATGTGGCCAGCATGACTAAGCCACTTCTGGCGAACCAGAGCAGCACACGGAAACACCGTTTACCTTCCTGCCGGAGCAGTACCTATTTATCTACTTGCACTTTGATGTGCTTTCAAATTGCTAGGTTGGCAGGAGCAGGGACCGAGCAACGGGAGCTCACCCCATCACGGGGGTTCGAACCGCCGACCTTCTGATTGGCAAGCCTTGGCTCTGTGGTTTAACCCACAGCGCCACCCGCGTCTCTATGCATCCAAATATAAGCGATGGCAAAAATGGCATCAATGAAAGCAGGGAATGAAACACAAATTTGCTATTTCCATTTTCAGGTCTAACAAATCACCTGCATTAATATTACAATACAACTATTAGAAGGAAAAAGGATAACATGTCTGGCATTGGCCAGGCCCAAAAATAATATTTGGAGCATACAGTTACACGTTGGCTCCCTCGGCCAGTAAAGCGAGATGCGCGCCACAACCCCAGAGTCATTCACAACTGGACTTAACTGTCAGGGGTCCCTTTACCCTTTACAGTTACATTTATCCTACGAATTAGCTGTGGCCCTCTGGTTCATTAAACACTGTCAATGTGGCCCTCTGTGCTGGAAAGGATTGGCTATCCTGATTTACAGCTACTAATATTTTGCAGCCATCTGCAAGAAGGAAGGATTTTTGTTTTGAGTCTTGCACATTCCATACTGTGAAATCAATGGTGGGAAGCCTGGGGTCTTAAGAGATCTTGTTGGAAGCCCCAGCCCCAGCCCCAGCCAGCATGGTCCATAATCAGGGGTGATGGGAGCTCAGTCCAGCAACATCTGCAGGGCCAACCCTCCCCAACCCTGCTATAAATGAATGCTAAAAATGGTTGCTTATAGCAGACACCCCACCCCTGCCAAAACTAAAATAGCCACCGCCATTGGTAGAGAGGACTAGGCAACTGTTTTTATCATCCTTGTACCCATGCCAAATAAGCTTGCATCAGACTGCTTACTATAAAAGGGACAGAGATTCTGCAACAACTGTGTTAGTTTCACAGAATAAAGGGCATTTCTAGATGTTGGTGGTGCTGAAACAGTAAGTGCGATGTAAGGTATCTCATGGTTAGGTGCCACACAGATAAGGCGACTAGTTACAAATGCCCACTGGATTCTAACTTTGAGCTATTCCTTTGGATTGCATGTGGACATATTCAAGTGGACTGATCGCCAGCATCATCAGCTTGGAGGAGAGCAAAATGAGTGGCTGTAACTAAATTTTAATGGGATTTGCCTTTGCTGCAGCAGAGTAATTAGTTCAAAACAGCTACAAACATGAAGCTATGAGGTGAAAGCCAGCCATTTTTTCCTAGTTGCAACCCTCATACCAAATCTACAATATGGGGAATGCAGCTCTGAACCACATTAAAAAGCTGTTCTAAGTCACTCTCCCACAGGCCCCAAAATATGGTCCTATATACGGTAATCTCTCAGCCTTGTCTACTATCCCTACTTTGCAGCATGGGCTTACTCCTAATGCACAGTTTGTTTCTTTCTCTCACAGTGTAAGTGTTTGCAGAACATTTTTTAAGAAGCTCCAAAGTTCAGACTGTTCCCACAAGAGCAATGAATTTATCTCTTACTTCTTGGGGATGGGGTGAGAGAGAACAGAACAAAGCTGCCAATCATTGCAGGGCCCATGATTTCCACACTGTCTGTTGCCCAGGAGCAGTTTTCATTTTGCCACCCTAAGAAGAGACTTCTCCATGAAAAGAGAGAATCAGGCAAGCCAGTGTAAAAACTTGTACTCTGGCCCTTTCCCTGTCCTCACAGCAGCAACCTGTCAAGGTGAGGAGTTTAAGGCTTGATCGGAAGAACAGAAGACCTTAGGGACAATGCAGGGCCTTCAATTCAGGGCCCAATAACAAACCACAGCCCTGTATTCAAAGCAGCCTTGGAAGCGGAGCCACAAGCAAGATGGGTGTTGAAGCAATCTTCCTTCCACCTTTGCAAGGCCCAGAAGCCCGAGAGGGTTTTGCAGCAGTCAAGAGCAGCTATATATTATTTTCGCGGCAGCAGCAGATCACAAACTAAGCAGCAGACGATTCACAATACTGCTAAGATTCTCTCTTGTCAAACTCCAAGCTAGAAACGGGCAAGGGCGATTTATGTAAGAACTGCTCTTTCCCTCCAGCCCTCCCCATTTCCACAAAGCTGAATTAGCAACAGCAACATCCTCTCCACGGATGTGCGCTTCAAACCTTCGACCATCAAACGTTGCATTAAGGAGGAGGGGGGAGGAAAGGGGGGGAGAGAAAGTGACTCACTTCCCATTTCCAGCATGGAAACGAGGCCCCTTTCTGGTGCCAATAAGGACTATTTTGACCAGGGCGCCTATTTCCTAATTCTGCAGGGTTGCCTTTTCTCTCTCTCTGTCCCCCCCCCCTCCACACACACACACACACACACACACACAGAGAGAGAGAGAGAGAGAGAGAGAGAGAGAGAGTAACCCCTGCTTCTCTCTCCCTATTCAGGAAAAGGGCAAGGCAGCAACGACAGCGAGTTGGTGAATGAACGAAGGCTGAAGGTTACCGGATTTATGAATGTCAAGATCATGTGACAATAACGGGAACCCGTCTTATTCACAAAAACACAGGCCGAGGGAAAGTGCCGCGGTGCGGAGGAAACGCTGCCGAGCCCGAGAGAGAGAGGGAGAGAGAGAGAGAGAGAGAGAGAGAGAGAGAGAGAGAGAAAGGTGTGTCCCCGAGGCAAGTCACCTTTCACCACTACTAGCCTCAGCAGCCCCGCCCCGCCCCTTCGCCAAAGGAAAGCCGTGCCTTGCAGGAGAGGTGCGGTTGCACGGAGATCAAGCGCGGGATTCGTCTGGAAATTAGAAAGCTTTCGAGGGAAAAGGCGGCTTGAAATTAATTAAGACCCCCCCCCTTTATTTGCACGCAAGCTCCCGCTCCCGCTCACACACACACACACACACACGATGCCGATCCGCTGCAGCGCTAACCACGAGCTCCGAGCAGCGCCTGGGGCCCGAGGCTGCCTCGCCTTCTGCTAGTTATTTTTTAATTCAGTTCCTGCACCGCCTTTCGCCCGAGGACCGCAGGGCGGCTTGCAACAGAAAAGCACACGAATGCGTGGCATAGTAACAAGCGGACCCAAACACCGCCCCCTGCACAGCTTCGCAGGCCGACGGGAGCTGCTGCCCCCCCCGATCCCCCACCCGCGCAACTTCGGCGCCGGCCCAGGCCGGGGGCCTTCCTCGCCGCGCGGGAGAGCCGAAGCCTCGCTTTCTCCCCTCGGCGGGGCCCGGATCCGCCCGGCAGCAGAAGCCCGGCCTCACCCCCCCCCCGCCAGCTCGCTTTCTTTCTCCCGCGGCCGGAGCCCCGACTCCCGGCCTCCGTGGAGGGCGGCTTGCTCTCTCCCTCTCTCTCTTTTTTTATGAATGGGAACGCGTTATGCAAATGAGCGCGATTCAAGAGGGGTGGGGGGGAGGAACACGACGCAGCAATGGCGGACGCGAAGGGGGCGTGAGGGGGGGGGGCCGAGCCGCGGAACAGAGCGGACCGCGAAGAAGCGAGGGCGCCGCGGGGCACTGGCCCCAAGCACATCCGGCGAAGGAAACGCAAGGCGTCCTCTTAGCCGCCCCCCCAAGCCACTTCCCAGAGGGGGGGGCGTACAACATCTCCCCCCCCCCACGAAAAAGGAGAAGCGGGGCGCCCTCCGCCACAGCCTCGCCACCCAGGAGGGGGCGTCGTCGGGGGGGGGGAAGAGACTTGAGAAAGGGCAAAGATGCCCGGCCGAGCAGCGCGCTCTCCAGATCTTCCCCGCCAGATGTTCCTCCCTCCCTCCCTCGCCGCCGCCCGCCCCCCCCTCCCCGCGGCCGGCCACTTACTCGTCGGGGTGGGCTTCTTCGGTCATCTTCTCCCCGTCGGAGCTCATCCCCCTCCGCCAGCCGCCTGGGGGGCTGCGCGCCTCTTCCTCATCTTCCCGGGGCTTCACATCGCCGGGCGGGAGAGATGCGGGGAGCGCGCGAGAGAAGAGCGGGGGGAGGACGGGACGGACGGCGGGGAAGGCCGCCTGGGGGGCAGGGATGGAGAAGGCAGGCAGGCGGGGGGCCGGTCGCCCGCCCCCCCCCCTCGAAGGCCTGGTCGGGGCAGGCGAGGAAGCGCGGGCTCAGCGCGCGGGGAGGCAGCGCGGCGTGGGCGCCTTGTGGTCCGGTGCGCCCGGGCGCCTCCTCCACGGCAGCAGCAGCAGCAGCCGGCGGCCCCGTCCGAGCCCCATCGCTGCCTTTACTCCATGTTGGATTCTCGCAGCCGCCAACAGGAGGAGGAAGCTGGGCGGAAGCGATGACGTGATCCCAGCCCAGCTGCTGGCGGGGAGGGAGAGCGAGGCGGGCCGGCCCCGCGCCAGCGCCAGCGCCGCTTCCCTCCCGCGCTCCCGGGACTCAAGATGGGCGGGAGGCGGCGGCGGCGGCCTGGGGCCAGCGCGGCTCGGGATCTCCGGGGCCCCGGGGGATGCTCCGGGGGGAAACGGGGCGACCCCTTGGCCCGCGGGTGGGTGGGTAAGAGTGTCCCCCCCACCCGGAGCTTCCAGGGTCCCGGCACGTGCGGCGCAGCGACGGGGCTTCTCTGAGCATGTGCAGAATGCTCCGCGAACCGAACGCTGCTTTTTGGTTTTTTTTCCAATGGTTTTCACAACATTATAAACAAACAAACACATAAAACAAACAAACATAAATCATAGGCTTATTGAAAATTACACTTGTTAACATTGTTAAGTGACTTCCTAGCTTGCCCTTGGTTGAATTTCATTGCATATCCTTCCCCCCCCCCAAAAAAAACTTTTATTGGTTTTCACAATATTATAAACAAACAAACACACAAGACAAACAAACAAAACAAACATAAATCATAGTATTATTAAAAATTACAGTTATTAACATTGCATATCCTTTTAACGGTTTTCCAAATCACAGTTCTTATAAAATTTAACTTAAACATTAACATCCTTAGATCTTCACATTATGAAATTAAACATATTGATTCGACACTTAACATAAATAAAATCCTAAGCCAATTAAGTATCTGCAAGTTGTTTTCTGTTAATTTAACTTAACGTATTTAACTAAGTAATCATTAAATTTAATCCACTCTTCCGTATACTCCTCCTCCTTCTGGTCACGGACTCTTCTGGTTAGGTCGGCTAGCTCCGAAAAATCCATCATCTTCATCTGCCATTCTTCTATTGTTGGTAATTCTTGGGTTTTCCACTTTTTAGCTAACAGAATACGAGCAGCAGTTGTGGCATACAAAAATAATTTAACATCTTTCTTGGGCAATTCCAAACCTGTTATTCCAAGAAGAAAGGCCTCTGGTTTCTTTATAAATGTATAGTGGCCGAGGAAACCAGGCCAGGGCATCTCGGAGGCTCCAGGGCTGAGCCCAACGCAGACTTGGCGCTCCTTTTGAATTAAATGCGAAGTACTAGCTTGGTAGTTAGGATGGTTTCCTTGCGGGATTGGGCCCAAAGGTGCTGGAGGAGAGGAGGCAGAATTCTTCGACAGGTTGCTAATGCCATCTTCCAAGAGATCCTTTGCAATTTCCTTCACTCCAAGCAATACACAAATTATTTTTATTATTATTAATTGGCCTGCTGTGATCGTAATGTTTCTTTTAAAAATTCATTTTTGTTTTTATTTTAACGGTACTCAACCCACAATTATACATTGGTTATATTTCACAGTCAAATAAAATGGAAAAATATATATATATGGAAAATCTCACCTTACCTACAATAATCCTATCAACAAGAGTTTCCCTATTTCACACTTCACATGTTAGAAACATTTCATATTGGCATTGCAGCTTATTCATATCATTACAGTGGTGCCCCGCAAGACGAATGCCTCGCAAGACGGAAAAACCGCTAGACGAAAGGGTTTTCCGTTTTGGAGTTGCTTCGCAGGACGAATTCCCCTATGGGCTTGCTTCGCAAGACGAAAATGTCTTGCGAGTCTAGAGATTTTTTTTTCGCTTTCCCCCCCTTTATCTAATCTGCTAAGCCTTTAATAGCCTTTAATAGCCTTTTAGCAGCTAATCCCCTAAGCCTTTAAGCCTTTAATAGCCGCTAAACCGCTAATAGCGCTAATAGCGCTAATCCGTCAATGGGCTTGCTTCGCAAGACGAAAAAACCGCTAGACGAAGACTCTCGCGGAACAGATTAATTTCGTCTTGCGAGGCACCACTGTAGTATCCAACACCCTTTCTTCAATACCTCACAGTTTTACACAATCTAATACTCTAGTTTCCATCTTCAATCGACCTTCCCTCAACTTTCAAAGCAAGCAGCTCATTTTTAGCTGCATTAACCTTAGAACCTTACATTTTTGCACTTCTGTTTAGCTCCTCCACTGATTCCTTTGCTGATACCTCTTACGTTAAGAAATATAACCAGATTGTTAGCATACCAGTTTATATGCCTTCAATATGTATGTCATCTCATTTCATCTTCTGATAAGGTATTCTGGTGCTTGTAAAGGTAAAGGGACCCCTGACCATTAGGTCCAGTTGTGAACGACTCTGGGGTTGTGGCGCTCATCTCGCTTTATTGGCCGAGGGAGCCGGCGTACAGCTTCCAGGTCATGTGGCCAGCATGACTAAGCTGCTTCTGGCGAACCAGAGCAGCGCACGGAAACACCGTTTACCTTCCTGCCGGAGCGGTACCTATTTATCTACTTGCACTTTGACGTGCTTTCGAACTGCTAGGTTGGCAGGAGCAGGGACCGAGCAACGGGAGCTCACCCTGTCGCAGGGATTTGAACCGCCGACCTTCTGATCGGCAAGCCCTAGGCTCTGTGGTTTAACCCACAGCGCCACCCGCGTCCCCTTTGAAGCAGCATAGTACGTTGCTGATGATTGGTGAGCTCACGGTGTTTTCCTGCTGCACACAAGAAAGGGAACGCCTTGCTCAACGTGCAGCACAGAAGTCAAAATGTGTACAGTGGTACCTCAGTTTACGAACTTAATCCATTCCGGAAGTCTGTTCTGAAACCAAAGTGTTCTTAAACCAAGGTGTGCTTTCCCACAGAAAGTAATGGAAAGTTGATTAATCCATTCCAGACAATGAAGAACAACCCCTAAAACAGCAATTTAACATGAATTTTACTATCTAACAAGACCTTTAATCCATAAAATGAAGGCAATAATCAATGTACTGTACTACAAAATAAGACAGTATTGTAGTTGATAAAAATTAAAATTATTATTTTTTCATACGTGCACTGATTATAGTCATTGTTTGGATGGGGGGCTTTTATCCATTTCTGCAGTCACACAATCAACCAGTAGCTGAACTGGGTTCCACACAGTCACAAAAACAAAGTAACAAGCTACAGTCACAAAAACGAAGAACAAGTCACAGTCACAAAAATGAAAAAGCCACACAAAAACACAATTATTTTTTTTGAGCAAAAACAAAAGCTCCAAATATCCCTTCTGTGTTGCATGGGTGCTTGGGACTCAACAACCAACAGACTCAACAGGAAGCCTCTGATTAGCAGCGGGAGACTCAATTCACAAATGGAACACGCTCAACAGGAAGCAGAACATGTTCTGCTTCCAAGGCAAAGTTCACAAACCAAAACACCTACTTCCGGGTTTGCAGCGTTCTTATTCCAAGTTCAGAAACTAAGCTGTTCTCAAAGCAAGGCACCACTGTATGTGAATGTGCAGGTGCATTTACCACTGACCCATTTACCACACTTTTGATGTGAAGGGAATGTGACTCTTTTCCCACCCCTGGATTAAAGCAAGCTCATCCGGCATTATAAGGCATCAGAATGGCTTCCACCTTGTATTTTGCACATTCAAGTCCAACTGAGTCAGCAACAATTCTGCCCTTGATGTGGCAAAATGGATGTGGATTGCTAGATGGCTTCATAATGAAACAAGAGTACAGCTCCTAGTACATTCTTGGTGCTGAACAATTTTTTAAAATTTATAATAGGGGCCATAATTTAGTGGTTGACCACATGCTTTGCGTACAGAAGGTTTCGGGTTCAGTCACTGGCATCTTCAAGCAGAGCTGGGTTAGCTCTGCAACCTAAAGAGCTGCTGTCTGTATAAGGCAACTTCCTAATAAAAGGTAAAGGGACCCCTGACCATTAGGTCCAGTCATGGCTGACTCTGGGATTGCGGCGCTCATCTCACTTTATTGGCCAAGGGAGCCAGCGTACAGCTTCCGGGTCATGTGGCCAGTATGACTAATCTGCTGCTGGCGAACTAGAGCAGCGCACAGAAATGCCGTTTACCTTCCCGCTGGAGCAGTACCTATTTATCTACTTGCACTTTGATGTGCTTTCAAACTGCTAGGTTGGCAGGAGCAGGGACCGAGCAATGGGAGCTCACTCCATCGTGGGGATTCGAACCGCCAACCTTCTGATCGGCAAGCCCTAGGCTCTGTGGTTTAACCCACAGCGCCACCCGCGTCCCTAATAACTTCCTAATAACTTGTACATATTTTAAATCTGTTTACCATCTCCAGTGCTAAGTCAGAAGCATGGGGCATCTCTGCTTGTAGACTGTTTTTATCTCTTTCCCTAGTGGTTGTTTTCATAAGTCATTTTATTGCCTGCTTATATAAAGTGCCTTCCCCTAAGGCATGCTGTAAACAGAATCCCATGCAGGGTAATAAGTCATGATTGCTATGTATTTTAAGTGCGCAGCATGCATACCTATTATCCTATAATACTTAATGGGCAATTCTGCAAAACCTCACATGAATGTACAGCGGTGCCAACTGCGAGTAGCTGCATGGAATTCGGTGGCAGTGACTGCCAGGCATAAACAGCCTAGCCAGCACATGTGTCTACAGGATATGAGAAGTCATCATTACTTTTTCGATTTGAGATTCTGTATTATTGCCTTAATATGTTCAGTGGATCCCTGGTATAGTTCCATCACGAAAGCCCTGTTTTGGAAGGCATTGCTCCGTATTTCTCTTCTGTCCCAGACCTCATGGCTGACTTTGTACGTTTCCGAGCACAGTTCAAAGTGTTGGTGCTGACCTTTAAAGCCCTAAACGGCTTCGGTCCTGTATACCTGAAGGAATGTCTCCACCCCCATAGTTCTGCCCGGACACTGCGGTCCAGCGCCAAGGGCCTTCTGGCGGTTCCCTAACTGCGAGAAGCCAAGTTACAGGGAACCAGGCAGAGGGCCTTCTCGGTAGTGGCTCCCGCCCTGTGGAACGCCCTCCCACCCAATGTCAAAGAGAAAAACAACTACCAGACTTTTAGAAGACATCTGAAGGCAGCCCTGTTTAGGGGAGCTTTTAATGTTTAACAGACTATTGTGTTTTAATATTTTGTTGGAAGCCGCCCAGAGTGGCTGGGGAAACCCAGCCAGATGGGCTGGGTATAAATATTATTATTATTATTATTATTATTATTATTATCCAGGCAATTAAAATGACGGTCATTGAAATGAGCTGGGCTTGCTGTTAAGAGTGCAAAGCGATGGAGATTGTGCTCTGACACTCCCCAGCCTTTGGTAACCTGGCGCCTTCCAATCGTTTTGTTTTGCAATTTGCATCAGCACCAGCCAGGACAGCCATGCTGTCCTGAGGCTGATGAGAGTTGTAAGCCAAAGCAAACAGAGCTGCAAGAATGAGTCCAGTTGCCACTGGAACCTTAACAATGTGGTCCCTGGGTTGTTGGAAAGGTCAGGAAGTCGATTTATCCTGTTATGTACTGAAGTTCTCACCCTGGGCCAGCAGGGGGATACTGTAGATAGTTTTCACTCAGGTCCACATATGCAAATAAGGGATTGAAAGTGACGTTCAGTGATTGGATAGTTACAGAAAGTGGTTACTGTTGCGTTGTCGTGGAGCTCTATATAAGGCTGGCTGAACCCTTCAGCTCAGTTCTGTTCTGGCCTGTGAATAAACAAGAGCTGTTTGAAGAATCGCTGTGTCGTTTGATATGTTCACCCACAACTTAACACATCCTACTCTCCCCCCATCCGATTTACTGTTGTGCTTCATCCCACTCCCTTTCTTTCTGATGAGAACAAACACCTACCTAGTTCTACCTAGAAAGGCTCCCAGTTCAGAAGCCATAATTGCCAGTGAGTCTTGAGTAGCCCCAAAAGGAAAAAAGAAGAGGGAAGGGAATATACTTGAATATAACAGTAGCAACATGTGTTCTGACCAGAAGATTAACACAAGTACATGGTACTCAACTTCTAAGCGAGATCCATCCCCACAATGGTAAGGTGATTTGAAGGCAGATCTCAGACAGAGATGCCTAGGTTCAGATAATTGCTCACTATCAAAGCCTTTCACCCTTCTTTTAAGCAAACAAGATGGCCAGTTTTAGCCAGTTTTCACTAAGGTGGGCAAGGTGAGGATTAGGCAGCAA